TCGCAAATCGAAAGCGAGAGGGAAGGAACTGCGCTCGGTGCTCGACCGACCGAACGAACGAACGAACGAACGAACGAACGAACGACCGTAATGGTATGTAAGGCTCGTACCATTTTCCAACAACGCTCGTGCAAATCGCTTTCATCTCCTACGGGGCTGCCATTTCCCGTTTCTGTTTCCGTTGCTTTTCGCTCTCGCTTTCCTCGAGAGGCGAAGCTCGCGTTCCAGCTTCAATTCCAGCGTTTACACGTATCGCATGCACGGTACGTTCGTCGTCGCTCGTTCCTTGCTAGAGCCACGTTCGATTCGTGTACACACCGTGGGCACCGGCTGCCGATCAACGTGATCGCCAAGCGTCCTCCGGCGAAAGCTATCGGTTCCCGTCTGCCGTTTGCCGTCTGCTGCCAGCTCGCTCCGCTTGCCGGCTGCTCGCCCCGCGGATCTCGTTTCTCTTTCACGCTAGTAGCAACCGCAGCCGCAACCTCAGCCTCGACCGACGAGCCATGCCGATGAACGATCGTTTCGTCCGGTGTGGCGCCCACGCTCTCGCACCCGTCCCCAACGCATCGCATCGCATCGCATTCTTCGTCGCGCGTTACTCGCCAACGAATTGTAAACGAACTCCAGAGTGAACGTTCATTTCGAACATTCGTTTGAAAGAAAATGAAGAAGGAGGGGTAGATGTTGCGAAATGGCGTGCAAAAGGAAAACCGGTAGAGGTGGCGCGGTGAACAGCAAGCTTCCTGCTATCGCTGTTACGGAGGGACACGCGGGATGGATGGCTGGAGGAGAAGGGAACAGCGCGAAAAAGCCTCGAGGCTAGCCTCGGCTGGCCTCGACTTCTCTCCTCAGGACCTTCGAATCGTTTCCGCTCAAAGGCGAGAGTTTTCGTACATATCTTCTCCGACTTGATTCTTACGTTTTCGAGCGGTTTTAACCAAAAGGGGTGGGGGGGGGGGGAAGAAATTCCCTCGTTTCGTTTTATCAGTCAATAAGGATCGAGAAGCTGCCGGCTCGTCGGTCGAATGATCTTGAAATGATCTCGAGAAAACGTTGCCCGTGTCTCGAGATTGATTCGACGTATCACCGGGCCCTGACGTCGCAATCGAAAAAAAGAAAAGCCATGCTACGCGCCAATGCCCGCTATCCATAAATTACTCCCCATCGACAGCCAGTGTGGCCAGTTTCTATAAATCAAAGTTATCCGAGTGTTTACATTACATTCTTGTTTCGCGATTACTAAACGCGCAATAAGAGCATGTCGAGCAAATCGACGATAACGGCTCTCGGAATGGAGCGGGCTGGCGATACTCGCGACTCGAAGCCGAAAGGAAGTCGGCGTCCTCCTTTCTCGCCGACACGCGATCGTCGTTGCGCCAAGTCGAAAGGTACAACAGCCAGCGTGCGATCGTACTCTCGCGTGGATCCCTCCCGCCAAATCTCGGGCGATCCTCTCGTGGAGCAATTCGAGCACACGCCAGCACACGCCGACGATGTTATCTTCACACGAGAGTAAATACGTGTACGGACGCGATGTACGTACGCGGTAGAACGCGTCCGAACTTTTATCCGCCGAGACTAACTAGTCGGGAGTAAGTGGGTCGCGGCGTGCAAACTCCGGAATCGCTCATGCATCACGCTGCGCGAGTTAATGTCGCAAGCTCTCTGACTAACCGGCGCGATTTTTCTTCGCGAAACTAGTCGCTCTATCGAGACTCGGTTATCAACGGCGATACGTTGCAACACCGGCTACACCCACGCTTCCATTCGATTCGATTCGACTCGACTCGACTCGACTCGACTCGACTCGACACGACTCGTCGCCGTCCAATCGCCGCGCGAAAAACAGAAACGTCAATCAAATTACTTAAATTCCATAGGCAAATTAGTCAAATTCAGAATAGTTCGAGAACGAAACCACCGCGCGTGGCGCACGAGGCACGGTGCAATCGCCGAACGAAAGGCGGAAACAAAGAAAAGATCGAAGACGGCGAGGATCGGGAAGGAGAACGAAGAGAACAAGCCGAGTCGGATTTACGACGTACGACTTAAAACCGTCCGTGTGATTCATAGCGTTCACCGCGTACCGCCGCCGCTTCAACGAGAGATCGTTCTATTGGCCGACCGGTTTTGGCAGCAGCCGGCGGTACACGTGTTTTTAATAAGCTTTTATCGACGAATAAATCAGTCGCCGCTTTATCGCCAAGATTACGATGTTTGCGCGCGTCGATTCGCACACGACACGACCTCGTCGTCGTCGCGTTCGCCTATATCGATCGATCTCTCGAACGCTTTTCCGTACAACTCTCGCGATTCCTTTTTCCTCCTCCCCCCCCATAACGGTGTATTGTTCTCGATCGCGGCGACAGCTACCGCGATGAATGGTTCCGATTTTGAAATTCCAATCGGAGATTTGCACCGTTTCCATTTCGTCAGATCGTCGGCAGTAATTTCGTCTCCCGACGGAATATATATATACGAACGAAGCGATTCGGCGAAAACCGGCTAGCGAGAAAACGAAAACTCACGGTGTTCTCTCGATGTTGTGCGAGTCGCGCACGCGAATCACGACCTCGAGAGCGTTCCACGAACAGGGATCGTTGTTCGCGAGAGGAAATGCCGAGTCGCGTTGAACTCAACCGCGAGATTCGAACTCAGGACCTTGGACTAACCATTGACCTCGATAGCTATACGCTACCTCGCGGTATGCAGCCAGCAGCAGCAGCAGCAGCAGCAGCAGCAGCATCCTCGCACCGTGATTCGTTCGCGTTCGATCTACCCTTCTCTCCTTTCGTTCCCCCTTCCTTCCTTCCTTCTTTCCTTTTCCTTTTTTTTTTTTTCTCCTCATTTCATTTCTCTCTTTTCCATCCTTTTCCCTCTATCAAACTCGGCGTCGCGATAAAAGTAAACGATTTTCAAAGAATTCCCTCGCCTGTCGCCGATAATCGTGCACACGTCATATCAATCTCGTCGATCGATCCTCATAAACTGACCCACGCTACGTTTGACTCCACGTACGCCGGAGCAATGGATTTCTTGTTCGTTGATCGAAAGGATTACTCGCCTTATCTTGGCGACGTTGAAGCAACCCCGGTCGTCCCGTAATTCTAATCGTTAAAATTATTTTGTACAAGAGACTGTTGGGCTTCTTGTTCCCAAAAAAGAATATTATAACAGAAGAATTTATATTGTTTTGAAATTTATATTCTTTGCATATAAAAGAATTTATTATTTTATATTTAGATATGTTTTAATAATTATTTTGCATTATATTATATATTTCATATAATAATTATCTGATTTTATAAGATATGTTTAAATAAGAGCCACTGCTCGCCCGTTTCGTCATGCTGGCAAGAAGTCGTAACAAAGTCTGCCATAATACGATCACTTGTTGTCTTCATTACCCGCTGCTGATCCGCTTTAGAAACGATTGGCATCGATCGACGTTTAATTTCATCGTTTCTGGAGGAATTGAACGTCAGGACAGAGCTTCAAAGTGATTGGCTAACCACCTGCCATCATACGTTTCGTATCGGTTGCAATCGGTGCGATATTAATACTTGTAACAAAAGCAGACGACAGTCGATACAATTTCGCGCGGCGTCCGATCCACGTGAATTATTTCGAGATAACGATTCAACACGGCGAATCAATCATAATTCAAACGTTGCGAGCGAAAAATATAATACAAGTCCATTCATCGGGTCATCTTCGATCTTCCGTCAGAAGAATACGGCTCAAATACAAGCGCGCGCGAATCAGATCGATACTGCTCTTGGTCCATCGAGCCGGAACAACGGATGTTTCTCTTACTTTCTCGCGCATCGATCGCGGCACGATTGCCGATTTTATCGCACATTGAAATTCCCGTTACAACGCGAACGAGGAAGAAACACGGTGTACGTTCGAACGCGAGACTAATTCGACAGTGTGCAACTGGCCAGACGTAACGACGATACGGCATGCAACGATGAACGTTTCGCTCGTTTCTCGAGATTAGACGTCGCGGCACTTTGCTCTTCTCTGGCGTTTCCCTTCTTCGAACCGTTCGCCGATAGTTAGGAAGGCAAGGGAAAACTGGCAGATAATGGTCGTCGATTCGCAACGACGTAAACAGTTGAAGTACGGCCGTGTTGGCAAGCGTGTTGGCGCACGAGTGGGTGCAACGCCATCACAGACCTTGAGCGATTATTTTACTTTGGTTCGGTCGATTAGTTTGGCTTCTTCTCTCTCTCTCTCTCTCTCTCTCTCTCTCTCTCTCTCTCCTTCCTTCTCCCTTCCGTAGATTGCCACACATCGACTGCGCGTTTCGTTTTGGTTTTACGCGGATGCTGCCGGCGACGCAGTATGTTGAACGCGCATGTACGTACGTTTGCCTTAAAATACACGCAAACGCGCGAGTTAATATGCACCGCCGAATCTAGCTTTCCATCGAGAACGAGCGAGAAAAATTTACAGCGGCCGAGATAAAGCGATCCGAGGGGGGAGGGGGAATTATTGCGTAGATAAAACGAGCGATATCCCTCGAAGCGGTCGACGAATTCGCGATTATCGACGAGAAATAAAAAAGAAATTGTTGGAAATTATTGCTACTGTGCCGACGTTAACGGCTGCCACGGTTGTTCATCCACCGACAGACAACTATTAATAGTCTTACCGCGCGTTATTATCGCGGATCTATATGCGCAGCATAGCGCGACCGGCAATGATTCGTCGCAGGCTTATTTATTTTCTCGCTTCGATCGCGAAAACGCAATTGTATATATCGTAGAAAGAAGTCGGAAGAATTGTACGACACATCGTTCAATGGACTCTCTGGATTTTACAAGCATAGCTAATTCGCGTACGAGTTGGCGTACGACGTTTGTCACTTTGTGCGTACGCGACTCGATTCGTCTGCTATGTGTATGTATGTACGAAGGGATATATCTGGGACACGAGGAGATGTGGAGGGAAAACAAAAAAGGGGGAGAATAAGACGAGAACGCACGTTCTATTTTTAAATATTTTTTTAATAAGTTTGATAAAAAAATTATATAAATCGGATACTTAATAACAAGATGATAAGTGTTATAAACAAAGGGGCTAAATACAAATGTACAGTTTTGTTATACATATATAAAGTTAGTTGTTAGCTTAACTACCTCTACTAAACGTGTATGTATAATGAAAGCTTAAACTTACGACATACAGCAGAACTTGGACATTTGTGTTCCTACACGCGTGAAACACTCCGCATTATTTCTTTTTTTTTTCCTCGTGCAATATACATGGTACACGTCGTTTGTCCTTTCATTTGCAGAAATCGACGAAAATTTACGAGAGGATGATATATATATATATATATATATATATGATTGGTGAAGATTAAGACAGATTATTTCTCCAAAAGTTAAACACATACGTAAAAGATCGAAAATGTTGAACACAATAAAGAAACTGTGAAAAAGGTGCGACCAAACGATGAAACTGATTAGCGAATGATTGAGAGAGAAATGGAAAAAAATAACCTGAACTGATAAAATGATTATTATCGATCCCACAGCTCTCGTCGTTACTCGTCGATTTCAAACGAATTTTCGATCAAATGCGGTCGCTATAAAAAATTCCGTGCAACATTCAATCTCCCGTGTAAAAATATCGGCTACGACTTTTGGCATCATTTCCTACAACGATCGTTTCTCGCGTCACACACGTGTACATGCACACAAGATACATACAACGATACAATATCACTTCCTAACAACAACAATTAACAATAACAGCCAAAACGACGATCGTTTTCACCGTCGTTCGTACCGTTGTTCACCGCGTGCGTATATTTTCGTTAACAATTGTCCTTTCCCTTTCTTTTCTTTTTGTTCTTCTCGTTTTGCACATTTACAGAGCCATAGCATACGCGTAATATTGCACTTTGGTGTGTTTTTTCTTTATCACTATACATCTATGGGAATAAATTACAAACGCCCGTCGACGATTCGTATACGATTATGACTTTTTATACCGTTCGTAGTAAGTAGGAACCGTTCTTTCTCTTTTGTCCGTCGCGACACGATTTCGCTATCAACGGTTCCTTCGATCACGCAAAAAAAAAAAAAAAAAAAAAAAAAAATAAATCGCAAAAATCTTCTGTGTACAGTGTCACTTATATACACACAATAGCTTGAACATTCGAGGAACATCGTTGGGCGAAAGCGTACGCGCGCGTAATTTCACTTCGGTGTACAAGAAAAAGGAAACTAATTGAATAGTGTACAAACACTCGAAAACGGCACGTAACGAATCGATGGAAGATATGAAAGATTCTCAACGGCGTCGGTTCGTCGGATCGAGTTCGATCCCATCATTTTCGCGCGACCTACGAGACACGAATCGTCGTGACAAAATCCACTGCAAATTTTTTCTTTCTTTTTTTTTTTTCTTTTCTTTTCTTGTGACTATCGGTGATTGGCGTTTGGCTTGCTTCTTCAACAACAACTATCGACAACTGATCGAGTATCGGACGTACCTTTGCACTGAAAGATATTCTCACAGCCTATTGAATTACAGAGCGGAGAAGGCACGATAGAAGGGCAGGGACAAGACAAAAGGGCCGAAAATTATCAAGAAAGAAAACAGAAAAAAGAAAAAAACGGTCGTCACGTTACACTCTGGTCCTTTCGTATTTCCCCTGATCGTTTATTATAGTTTTCGTACTTTCTTTCTCTATCCCTGCCATCCGTACACCTCTCTCTTTCGTTCGCGCTATCAAGCATCCCTTTTCTCCATTATCCATTGCGTTTCAAAGAATATACAGCGAATTTTCGGCAATGTTATCACGGGTGGTAAATTGGCGATACCGGGAGGAAAATATACATCGATATCAAAAAAAAACAAAGAAAACTTGTTAGTAACGCAACCGATCGTAGGATCGAAGAAACAAGGACAACGACGCAAGATACCGTGTATATAATAAGATTTTTATTCTTTTGGCAGTCGTTGGACGCGCGTTGCTGAGCAAATACGTAAGTAGAGGATCGGTGGAGTGAAAACGAAAAAAGACTGGGTACTTACGTTAATCGGCAGTGGAGAGGTCTGTCTAAGTCCTTGGAACGCGTGTGGGTACACTGGCAATCGCGCAGTTGGCAATAACGTTTCGAATAACGCGGGTTGTTATCAGTGTGTATCGATGCGTTGGTCCGTTAAAAAAATTAACGGAGATATATAATACAAGAGATCCAACGAAGAAAGAAGAAAAAAGAAAAAAGAAAGAAAGAAAGAAAGAAAAAAAAATAATAATAATCGCGACGTTTGACTGTGTGACACGTTGGCAATCGAATTGCTCGTTAGATGTGCATACCGTAGCGTTACGCAACGCTAAAGATTAAGAGAAAATATGAGATCAAACGTTTTTACGCACATCGAGGATTCGTTCTAACGTGTAGGTACCTACATATCTATATATCGTGTGTAACATCGATAGAACAGGATTTTCGTAGTTGCGCAGAGCACGCGGCACAGGTAATAAATGCGAATAATATAAGAAAGTAAAGCGAAGAGAAACAGAAGCGAAACGAGCCAGGCGACGAATACATATTTATAAGTCCGGGGAAAAAAGTTTGTACGCGCGCCTCTCGCTTCGAGTCTGTCGTTACCTGTACACACTCTGCTCTGCGCGCTGTTTCTCGTACAAAACTGTAGAAAAAAGGAAAAGGGGATTTATCCGATAATTCTGTTCTATCAATTGTTTTATAGTAATGCCGTTCAGATTAAAAGATAATTCTTAGATCTAATATACTACACGAGAGATATACAAAAGAAAAAAAAAAGAAGACGTACGAGTACCGCGTACACATCGAGGACAACGAAATTGTCGAATCAAACTCATAGATCAGTGCAGAACCTCGATCGTAGCTGCATTTTGATAACGTCGTCCGAACGTGTCTTGAAGATAGAGTAAAAAAACGACAAAAAAGCGTTTAAAAAAAAAAAAAAAAAAAAAAAAAAAAAAAAAAAGAAAAAAAAAAGAAAAAGGAAAAGAGGACTATATGAGAATACGTAAACAGAGAGAGAGAGAAACAGTTCAACGCAAGACTATCTGCAAAACGCGTCGAATGAGAAAACACAGCCGCCGTACGATGGATTCCCGGTTTTTATCAAAACGTAACCCAGTCGTTGCCTACGCCGATAGTTGATAACATATCCGTAACATCCGGCGTGCAAGAGAACTCGAAATGCGATCCGCTGGAGCTGGCGGTCTCGAACGTGTCCAAGTCGGTGGTTATTGTCTCCATGTCGAGGTCGATCTTAAAATCGGACGGCTGTATCTGCAGCAAGTCCGTCAACGAGTAAAGATCCGCCAAGCTCGGGTTGTTGCCGGGCTCTTCGAGTTTCACGGCCGTCGTGGCGATGTTCACGTCACTAACGATGGCGACAGCGCTGCTGTCGGTGGCGTCGTCCAGTGAATTGTCGCTAGACATCGCATCGCTGGCTGATGGATTCGTCGATGCTAGACCCGAGGACCCGTGGATCGCAGAGGAAACGATGGTAGGTGGAATCGCGGTGGAATTCCTGGTAACTATGCTCGATGAACGTTTCAACGACGTGCGTTCGGCGCTGTTACTCCTGCTGACGCAGATGTCGGTGTTGGCAACGGGCGTCGACGGATCGGCATCCATTTCCATGTCCATGTCCAACTCCATTTTTATTTCCATGCCCGACTCGATCGACTTGGCGGCGAGAATGGCGGTGGTCGGCGCAGCCGTCGTCGTTGCTGGATCCTCTTTGATGAAATTGCTCGATCGACGATCGAGCTGTGGCAGTGAATGTTGTTGTTGCTGCTGCTGCTGCTGCTGCTGCTGCTGCTGCTGATGATGATGATGATGATTACGGTGGCCGTGGCAAGGTGTCCGAACGCGGAAACTCTTCTCCGTAAGCAGATTCATATCGTTGATCTCGGACGTGGAGAAGGTAACAGTGGCGGGGGCGGTTGCATTCGAGACAACAGGTCCGACCGAGGATAGCAATCGGTCCTTCGGCTCGAACGTAGTTTCGTAATCCATCTCGAAACTCGGTTCTCGCTTGATCTTGCAAACGGCGGCCGTGGCACCGGGTCTGACGGTGGTTTTCTCCACCGAAACGGAGGATATGGCAGGGAGTTGGCCGGCAACTGAACCACACTCGAGGAAATTGTCTTCGTAAAAGCTGGCCGATTCCGGGGAGTCTGGCGTGACGCACGACGGGCTGCTCGGTATTTTAGCGGTGACTATCGGAGGATTAGGAATATAATTAAGCGATGGTCTCTTGTCTAGAGCCAGTCTGACTTTCAAACGTGATACAGACTTGTGGCCGCTGGAGTGACCTTGTAACCTCTTCATCGTTGCACCGACCACTCCAGTACTTGCGTTACCGGTTTGCGTGTTGTTGTTGCTGTCGTTGTTCCGCGTGTGATGATTTCTACCGTGTGTTAATCCCATTGCCGATTTCCGTGGTTTTTTAGCACCGTCCTTTGCTTTCGTGCTTATGGCGTTACCACCACCCGTCGGCTTTGACGTTTTTTTCCTTGGCCTGTACTTATAGTCCGGATATTCCACCATGTGCAACTGTCGAAGTCTCTCGGCCTCTTCGATAAACGGCCTTCTCTCCGCCTCGTCCAACGTCTTCCAACGTCTTCCAAGCCGTTTGCTGATCTCCGCGTTATGCATGTCCGGCTGAATTTCACATATTTTCCTCCGTTCGATCTGTGACCAAACCATGAACGCGTTCATCGGCCTTTTGATGTGATTAGGATTGTTCTTCTTGGTCTGAAACAGAAGAGGGAGAGAAGAAAATTATCGGAAATTATCCTAGACCAACGTGTCCCTAAACTGTGTGTTGTATGTTCACGTTTCGCGAGAAATTGTCGTCTCTTTCGAGTAAAAGATATCGCTCGTAAATACGCGGAACGTATGCACGTATGTGTGCAAACGCATATATTTGCGCCCGCGCAAGTTGACACATACACGTATACGTCTAAAACGTAGAAAGAACAACGATCGCGCGTCTGTGTGTGACGACCGCATGCGTTCTACACGCTGGTGCAATGACGCGGATTTACATATCTTATTAAATGGTAAGTTACGCATCGAGAGGTAGATAACACGTAGCGTGCGCGAGCAATCTCTGCCCATTATACTTTTAGATATCGCGCCGATTATTCGACACGCACCAGAGTGGAAATCGAAAGGGTAGAATGTAGGTTACGAAGGTGTGCGCGAGAATACAGCAACTCGTGGCACGATGATCACGTGACGCGTAAATATCATAAAGGAACTCGACTGCTCCTCCATGTCCTTCCCTTCTTTTTTTTTTTTCTTTCTTTCCTTGAAATTGAAATTTTTAACGTACACGATGTATATATATATATATATATATATTCCCGGAAAATGTTCGTTAACTTGCCGATATTTGCGATCGTTTGATCTGACCTGTATTTATGCAATTAGCGGGCTGACACTTTACCTACGTATGGTGTGCACGCATCACATTTATTCGAAACACTCGAGCCGTATACACAGACGATCGATCGTGAATATATAACATGCATAATCAGAATTAATCCGTATCTATTCAAAAGTGAATTTTTTCTTTTCTTTTCTATAGAAAAGTATTTCCAATTTCTGACTAATTTATTATTTTTCCTTTTACAGATTCTCAGAGACGAAGGACACGAAATATATGTATATATATATATATATATATATCGGCAGGAACGTCGCATTTCTTCGACGTAGAGACGAATAATTTGTGAGATCGGCAAATTTGATTGAAAGATCGATAGTCACGGATGGAAACGAAGGGGAAGAAAGGTAGGGACAGTAATTGAAATAAATTTAATGAGAACCATTGAGAAATCCAAAGTAAGTAACTCACTGAAAGTAACAAACACTGGGAGAAAAATAATCTATCCTGCTCGACGGTTTGTCGCTACGAAAATAAATAACTGTGTATGTATATCCTTGCTTGTTGTGTGAAAACAGTTCAGCGAGAATAACCGTGCAATGACCACCAAACTACCCACGCGCGCGCACAAACATTCTCTTTCTCTTTTTAATCTTCGAAGGAAGAAAGAAAAAGAGAAAGGAAAGAATAGCAAACAGAAGGTACGCCATTTCTTACAGTTTAACGGAAACGCGAGCTGAAAACGATATTGGCAATGACTTTACCTCAAGTCGTAACGTTTCTCCATTTCCCGATAACACATGACAACGTGAATTTGAATGTGCAATTAATAAAACAATAGTCTAGCTTTTCTTTCTCTCTTTCTCTTGGTCTTGCGCGCTGTTCTTGTCGCGTTTTTCAAAAAAGATTGGTATCAACTATAAATCATACTACGTATATCTCTCAATATACCATTTACTGTCAACTTTAAATTTGTTAATAATATCTAATAACCACGGAAAATATATTGACACGTACGCGATAACAAAACAGACACGAACGTCGTGTTCCTCGGGGTATCTCGTTCCAAAAAAAAAAAAAAAATTACACGTACCTGCGTAGCGTCCGAATACGGTGTCGCAGAGTTTTTATCCACAAGTAATGATCCAAACATAACTATCCCCGAACTGGAGAGACCATCTTGCTGTTGCGGCACCATTTTTGAAATTTAAAGAGAACCTCTTTGCGTCACACTTCTCACTTTTCGGTCACCGGCGCCCGGAGACCGATATACACTGACACTTGTAAAGAAATAACGATTCGTAGAAAACAGTCAGTCACGCACGCCAAGAATATTTTGCGTCTTGCGTCTCCTCGCGACCTTGAATCTTTCTCTCTTGTTTACGACTGGTACCTCTCTCCTTTTGCACCTCGTCCGACCAATCTCTTTTCTCTTCTCCTCGTTTTCTTCTTCCACTCTACTTGCCACTTGGTTTTTCCCTTCTTTCGCCTCTCGCTTTTCTTTTACCGCTACGACGACGATCAGTGGCAGTAACGGCACCGCGCGCGCGCGCGCTGCGCCCGCTTTGTCGTAGATGCGCGAAAGAGAGGCGAGTTCAAAGGATTGGGACAGCAGACGGAGGCAATAACGATCGATGATCGAGAACACGTACGAGATGGCGATTCACGTCTCTTCTGAAGCAAAATCGCAAACACGTGAGCAACGATTCTTCGTGGCGCGTGATGCGTGCTCGAGGATCAGGTTCCGCAAACACGATCAGCAACAAGAGAAGCAATCGTAATATTTAATATGCACGCACTTTGCAATGTGTTCACTGGTAGGAAGAGACAAAGAACACGTACCAAAGCACTTTACAAACGGGCAAATATTTTGAAAATTATTCGCGCGCGTTTCGACTACGCGTCTGCTCTTCTATCGGATGGATAGAATTTAACCTCGCGTATCGTAAGCGCGTCTACAAAACGATTCCTCAAGCTCCGATGTCTGCTCGTCGATCACGAGATGACATTATCGGCCGACGTCGTAACGACGCTCGCTCGACGAGCGCTCACTGCCAACTAACTCGCCCTCAGTCCTTCTACCTCTATACTACGCTCAGCTGAGACTTCTCCCTACTCCGCTAACTCACGTAAACACGCTGCCTTTCCAGCCAGTCGCGATGCAGCCGTTCGTTTCTCCCTCTTTAACCCTGAAACCCTGTACGTTGCTCCCTTTTCTCTTTCTTCTTTCCTCGTTTCCCGTCTCTATCCTTCCTTCTCCAACCGTTCACGTGCACGTATGTGTGTTTATCTTCTAACAGGCGCTACACACTGCCGTCCAGCCAGCCTCGTGCATTCGTGCACCGCGCTTGTTTACGTACTCGCCCGACGTAGCAGACGCTCGCCTCCCTCTTTATCTTTTTTTCTCTTCTTTTTTACCATTTTCTGGTTCCATCGGCCTCCGGAGTGAGCGTCAATCGCTCGTTAGAATTTCGACTGTCGTACGAATAATCGATGTCTTTTTCTTTTTTTTTTTTTTTCTGCTCCTGTTCGTTTCTCCGTCCCTTCCGCTCTCTCCTTCGACTCGCTCTCGCTCGTTATCAATCGCTATCTCTCTCGCAAACTACGAGATTCTAGCGCGTTCAACCGCTTGCGCTGGAATGACGTGCCACGCGCGTCGAGAATCTTTTATCCTAAAATTGCAATATTTTCTCAATTTTAAGTATATATATATATATATATAAGTATAACCCAGGCAAAACAAATGATAAATTTATTACTTCTTAGTGATTTCTATCCAGTGATATCATACCGACGAGTTCAAAGGAAGAAGAAAGCGACGAATTATTGTATACGGTCACTCGTTATGGTCCGCAATCAGTTAACAGCACGAGTGATGGAACCTCTTGCGCTAGAATGACGTGCCACGCACGTCGAGAATTTTTTGCCCCATTATTGCAACATTTTTCTCAGTTTTAAGTATATTTAAATGTAACCGAGGCAAAACGAATGATAAATTTATTGCTTCTTAGTAATTTCTATTCAGTGATATACCGACGAGGTCAAAGAGAGAGCGACGAATTATTTGTAGTATACGGTCACTCTCTCTCGTTATGGTCCGCGGACCAGTTGCCAGCGCGAAGGGTTAATCCCCACGACACGATCGTTGACCGCTGTCCTATCGTTTGATTTCCTTTTAACCGTGTCTCCTGTCTATCACCGATATCTGTCGTGTCCCCGATATCGTCTAGCCGTCGCAATATATCGTCGGCCGATCACTCGAACGCCCGACTTTCCGCCGACCTTATCGCGCTCGCGATCGTCTGCGCGATGATCGATTAATTTTCATCTTCGATCTTATCGCGCGTTATCAAATATGTACGTTGTTTACGTTGCACGAGAGAGAAAGAGAGAGAGAGAGAGTGAGAGACAGGACTGACCGGACGCGTGACGCGTGTTTCTACGACGGAGAATAAATACTTGAGCCAAAACAGCAAATACTCGACGGAAAAATAGTGTCGCTGTATACAGGGTGTACGCCAGGTTAAATCGCCAAACTTCAGATATGAATTCAAAACCTTGAAACAAATAAATTCTTCCTCCGGAAGTATGCTCGCAAATCCTTCCTTCGAGAGATCTTTATTTCCAAAGTTATTAAGAGTTAGGAATGAATAACATTGAAATAGGTGATCGTTTCGAGCAACATGCGTAGTAATTACAATTATGATTTTTAGCAATAAACACAACAATTTTCTTTAGTAGTATACGTGATAAATCTGAGTCATTTCGATGGCATGCATTGCCTAGTCCTACAGCTTTCGTAGCGAGTGTCTCTTGACTTATACAGGACAAATTTGCTCGTTTCGCGATCCTGAATTGATATCTAAAGTTTGGCGTGTATATCGTTGAAATTGGCCCGATCGATTGCCATCGACGGCCGTACGAATACTGTTTGTTGACCGAACCTCGTCAAGGAGCGGCGAAGAAGCGGAAAATGGAATCGAGCCAGAGACTCGTCGGCGAGGCGCACGAGCGTGGTCGTGCGCGCACGCGATCGCTAGGAGCGGCTGTCGTCACTTAACCGGATGCTAGCCGCAGTTCGTGAATACTAATCCACGTTTCTTCTTTCTGATACGCGTGTATTTAGAAAGAAAAGACGAGGACGAGCGCGATTCTCTCGCTTCGCGTCACGACGAACCCACGGCTGCTTCGTTTCCGTTTTCTGTTTCTCTTATCGATGATGACCGGGATCGCGTCGCATCGTTACGACCAACAACAGCTTTGCTCATGATCGTTCGCGTCGCGAGCTGTTCCATGAAAGCGAGGCGAATTCTAGCCGGACGATTCGAGGAGGAAAGTAGCAGCGGGGGGGCCGCCTACTCGGCTGCGAGCTCCGCGGCTTGCGAAATACGCACGGCCTATCGTACGGGAACACCCGCGCTCTGCATTTCACCCGGGCTGAGTCAGCCGTATCGCGCCGATACGTTGCGCAATCGCCCCTGCTCGCGATAATTGCCAACAGGGGTGCAAAGCGGCGTGTACGCGCGGCAACGATCGTTGGAAATCCGCTGTTTTTCGTCGCTGTTGGCGTTCGTCTTTCCGTGAGAACTCCAGGGAAAAACGATCCGTCCTCGAAGGTTTCCAGTGACCCACCTATACACACGTACACGCACGCACCTACGTACGTGCGTGTAGTCGCATCCGAATGGTTTCGAAATACCAAAGGTTGGTCGGAGATGCGTGTGCATCAGGATGTAGACGCGCAGACACGCGTGTCGAAGAGCGTAGCGCAGCGCAGTTCAAACACTTGGCGCCCCCAAACTTCACGTTTTCAAACATTCGACGTAGAGTATTTTACTCAGCGGTGAGACAGTGGAGTTTCGCTCGTGCGAAACAATCGAATCAGCTGGTTATTCTTCGCCTCGGCAGCTTTCTCGTCGCTAGAAAATAGGGACGAGAAACGCGTGATAAAGGACGGGACGTTCGATCGCGACATATATTCGCGACTTATCCGAGTATGTACTGCGACTGAAGCCGAGCCTACCTGGAAACGAATATCGGTCCAGCTGTCCAGCTGTCCAGCAGCTGTGTACTTCACCTGCCCCGTTTATATCGGTTCTGAACGGTGGCGCGCGTGCACACAGCACCGCGTGCTGGCACCACTGCTCCGAACGCTCGAATCCGCCTATCGAGGATTCGACTCTGGCGTTGGTTTCGCGACGGAAACTGGAGCGTGTCGCGAAATCAACGACGAAACAGGAAACACTCCGCGTTCTGCCCACCTTTTCTCTTATTTCGGACTGCCGGGAGAACATCGGAAGATGATTTCCAGACAAATTATACCAGTCACGGAGGAACGCGTTCCGCGTCACGGTACAAGAGTCGAGGGACAATGATTTTACACGGGTGCATTTCCGGCTGTTTCCAGCCGTGATGGATACACTCTTCCTTTCCTCTCTTTATTCTACTCTTATTGATATATCTTCATTTATATCCGATATATTTTCATTTCGTTTCATACGTTTTCTTTCTCTCTCTTCCAATGACACTCATTCTCTTTCTTAATTACATCGTGCGTTGACACAATAATTTTTATCGTTATTTGAAAATCTGCGTGAGAGGAAAAAATTTCGAGATGAGACTGCAATTGTTCAACTAAGTTTAATAGTCGTGAGTCGATCGATAGGCAGCGAGGAGATACGTCTGTTTTGCATTTCTTCAAATTGCAAAGTTCTAGCCTCGAAACGATCGGGGAATACTAATCGTCTCCGGGAAAACCGTCGGAGCAACGTCGTTAAAGAGTCGCGCGTCCGGACTATGTACGTATGCACCTGCCTTGCGTTGACGTGTTGCGTTGCTGTTTGTCGTTCCTGTCATTTACGTTCTTGAAATTGATCGGCCAAAGGGATAAAAGTGCACACGGGACGACTCTCGCCATCGGCCAGACGAATTTCCTCCGAACGAGACGATCTCACGCGACGGAGACCTTACCGGATGGAAAGTTCGCTTTATCGGTTTGCACGAAAGATCGAAAGAAGAACAGGTGTGAAACAACGATGCTACACCTGCGTGAATAACCGTACATCAGCTCTACTGTTATGCCTTGTGTTGCGAATTCCCTCGCCTCCGACGGAAACACGCATATACGTACGTACGTACGTACGTACCGTACGTCTTATTAAATCGATCGCACTATTTGCTCGCGCCGAACTCTCGCAACAATATCTACAACGACGCGTACAATTCGATCGCGACGCTGATGCGTTCGATTGGGCGCCTGACACGATTTCCTTCGCCTCCTCCTCTATGACGAAATCGAAAACCATGTGTTGTACGATACGAGTACTTTTCGATGATGCGATGCCATACGATACGTTTGCTCACGGACACGAATTGTAAAAGTGGACACGGATGTGGCTGCGGGTACCCTGATGCATAAGATCCCATCTTCTTTCTCCCAGGCTCCTCGCGCACCTCCTCAACTACGTACACAAGAATGTATATACGCGTATCTGAATTCATTCGCGTGTTGTTTTTTTTCTCAATTTCTTTCGAAACCTTGTGCACGATTGTAAAAGACGAAATAATACTTCGGGGTATAGATTGTCGGAAGCGGAGGGAAAATGAGAACAATAGCACTAAATTTCGAGAAAACAGATGTCGAAATTGGAAAGCAATTCGGCCTTTTACCTTGTAATGATTTATTGAAATACGATTTTTCGCACAAACAATATATATACATTGTCGGAGGAAGTGTAGAATAAGAATGCTAAAATTCGAGAGAAAGTAATAAAAATTGAAAAGCAGGCTATTAAGGAATGTATAGAGAAGGTAATAAAGAAGAAAGATAGAACAGGTTACCTTAGAAAAAAAGGTAGAGGTATAATAATAAACATCTTAAATGTCTTCTTCGTTTTTGGTTACTTTTGAAAGTATATCAGAGAGAAAAATGATTATGTTTTGGAAGGACAATCATTGCGTTAAACAAACAATTTTTACCGAGATCACATCTTTTGAGATTTCTAGTCATCGGTGATCGTCAAATGCTCACAACGTATTCCTTACAAATAATTCCATTACAGGTTACTGTTTGTTTGAAAGATTACAGGATATTGCTGCAGTAAACTTACCATGTTGTGACTTTTTTTTTGGGGGGTAAAGCCGATACGGTTTTCAAGCCAGGTCAGGTAAATAATCTCTAACTTGAATAGTTCCCTGCGGAGCTAAATAGGAAAGACATTAGGGAGTGACGAATTAACTTAGGGACAGTTGCAGTAAGTAATAAGGCATAATACAAGGACTATACAAACGTATCGGATGTATACAATAACTGAAATACCCAAGAAAATAACACAGGTGTCTTCTAAGAAATAAATAACAGCGAGGGTGCGTTGTAAAATATGGTGAGAGCTAATATGGACAGTTATTGGGATTTTTAATGGCAGACGAGAAAAGAAAATGTATATTGTGTGAAATAAGAAGACTACGTAGAAGGATTGGAAAAATAGCAGATAGTTTGAAAAAGGCAGGAGATGGCAGATAGGATCAAATAATCAAGGAACTTATAAATTAAAGAACAAGAAGGTGTCAAAGTTTTTGGATAGAAAAAGATAAGAAATTGTAAGTTTAGTAATTAGAATAATTAGTTTCAACACATTAGTTCAACGCGTAGGTTAATCTAATGTAATTATGTGGGCGTGAGCACATACGAGGTATAGGGAAGACTTGGTGTCACATGTTCTGAAACATCGATATGGTAGAAAATCTTTGATTATTTAACGCGTTATTTAAAGAACGATGTATTGAAGAATTACAACGATTAAAGTTGATCAAGTAGAGATATGATCTTTAGTCGATGTGTGCGGCATGGTGCAAAGTGAGAATGAAAATGAATTGCAATCCAAAATCTAATTTCCAGGCTAACGAGGCTGAATATATATCCATATATAAAACGGAGGGAAAAATAAAATGAAATTATACGAAAAAGATCACGAAAGTGCGACAATTTGAAAAACACAGTCAATGTTTGATCGTCATATTTGTAGATTACATGTTTTCCCACAATTGATAAAGCAGATTTCATTGTAACATACGCTGTTGGTTAAACAGAACATCATCATTATCTCTACGCGGTAACACTCTCTCCAACGCGGTTTATTTAAAAATGAATGAACGTAAAACTTGAGAACGTAAAACAAATTCCTTTCTCAAACTATCCTTCTCGTCTGCATTGCGCACTCTCGTACCCATCGTAACGAGTTTACATGTCAGCCGACATACACACACATATATATATATATATATATATATATATACGACGTGATTCTACTGAAAACAATCGCGATCTCGCATCGATAAAACGGGTAAACATGTACGTAGCAATGAATCACTTCGTTACTATGCACGTAAGTGTAAAAATTCTATTAAACGGGAAGAGGAATTTTAACCGTTTTAAATTTCACTAAATCATGCTTCTTCGACGAAACATTAATTCTCCTCCTCGGAGCGTATAACGGATAACGGATAACGTATAATCGATTTTCCTTGGAGCGGAATAGACCAAGTTGAAATTCTGTTAGACCGTTAACGCTCTTCCAGGCGAGAGTATCGTAATTTTTAAAAGGTGTTCAGGTCGTTGGGTGCCAACGTCGTGGCACGTGCATATGGACAATATACGCCGTTCACGACACGTACGGCCCTTCTGTCTCTCTTGCTCCGAGATCCGGAATCAACGTAATTTGATTATCTCATTGGAGAACGCTTACTTTTAAATCGAATCGCCAACGTCGCCTACTGGCCTTTATCGTTTGCTTCTTGACATTGGCGCGTCTAACTCGATTCTCCTCTTCCTCGTTTCCTTTCCTTTCCCCATCTTTTCTTCTCCATCTCCTCTCTCTCTTCATCACGTCCCTTTTTCTTCCCCGTGTTTTCCTTACGACCGCGCGTGCGATCACGTACGCTTGGTCGAGTACAAAAACAATAAATTCTAATTACAACGCGACAGGAATACGGCACGAATGCACCAGCGTGAACGTCACCGTTAACACACACCAGAGATCTACCCCGGGTCTACCGAGAAAGAAGCTAATCCAGTTTGTAATATGCAATGCTTGATCGGTGATCGGGTTTAGCAACGTATGACCAACTAATCAAGGACCGTTTGCTCGTGAGTAACTCACCTAACTTTGTCATCTGATTGGTTTCCTCTCGACTGGGATTTGATCCTTGGAAAGTCGTTAGATTCGATCTTTTCGTTCCCTGGAGAGAGAGAGAGAGAGATAGAGAATCATTTTGAAAACGCAGCCGGAAGTGGATGCTGCCTCGCGTATGAGAGCGTATGCACGAGTTTCCGGATTTCGCGAGTGCTCGATTTCACAGGGGAATGAGGAAGCGGATTAAATCATACCGTCTCGTGAATCGTTTATCCCCTGATGATGCTGGCTCCGCGCTGGACGAAACTCGTTCTTCGCGAGCTGCTCTCAAACAGCTGACGGATTTTCCTTCTAACGAACGTGACGAATTGTTCTGCAAATTGCGAACAATTGCAGGTGAACAGGCGTACTCTGACGTACTCTGTCTCCCCGAGTGAACCGTTGTTTGTTGTCCAGTTCGCTGCATGCCGTTTCCTCGCAGAACGCAATTGTTTTCGCGAGCTATGGTGTGAACTCGGAACATAGCGAAACGTTTCGTGCGAAACGAACGAACGGTGTGTGAGATACTGGCTAGGATATTTCTATCATTCTTACTTCAAGCAGCAACAGTCTACAGAGCTGTTTCTGTCGTCTTATTAAACATACATGCTTGCACGTATATATACGCGTCACGGCGCCAAATCGTCTCTATCTCGATCAATCGTTGGAAACCACACGAAGGACGTGATACGCCGAGCAAACTGGGGAGGGAAACAATCAGCCGAGATAACTCTATCGAGAAAACTATGCTGAATTGAAAATAACCACGTGAGAAAGATCTAGTTCTTCTGCTTCTTCTTCGCGGTGGGAAAGAAAGGAATTCTTACTTACAAAATTGTTACGTCGTGACGTTCGAAACAATCTTTCGCAACGTGAGCTTTCTTCTGATAGCGTCGTTTCGAACGTTGAGCGAGCACACCGGCCGGCGTCGAATTGATTTCTAGTTTATGTCTGGACAAATATCCCATAAAGTCGAGAGAGAGTTATCTCGCTTTAACGACTGACGATATCGTTTTCTACGATCTATTTTGATTCGCGCGAGAAGTGCAAATTCCTCGAGACGAGATGTGTCTAATAGGGAGAGAGAGAGAGAGAGAGACAGAGAGAGAGAGAGAGAGAGAGAGAGAGAGAGAGAAGAAAAGAATTGAAGAGTGGACGGGAGAAAAGTGACGATTAAACGAGGAGGATCGATCTTTTCCAATTTCTTATTTCCCCGTTTATTTCTTTCCTTCTTTCTTCGTTTGCTTGCTTTCCTCGATTCTTCTTCACCTTTATTGGGTTCTCAACGAACAAATTGATAACCGATAAACCGATCGATTCTCCAAAGGAAAAATCGACACGGTCGCGGCGACCGCCATTGAAATCAATTTACGCAATCGGAAGTGATTAAAATGTTACTTTCGCGAAAGGAACGAGGTTTCTCCCTAACCCCGGCCTCATTATATCTCTTTTTCTTCTGCCGTTATTTACACAGCTTGTCCGCTTCTGCTTTTCATTAGCTCGCCGTTTCCCAGAAATAAAGAATTCCTAGAGGTTCAATATTCTGAATGAACCTATCTCTACGTCTATTGATACAGTCACGCAGACACCATCGCCGCAATCAATTTACGTAATCTAGGGTAATTAACACTAGAAACTATCGACGACTGAAGCGTAATAATTGCATCAGAAAAATTCAAGCGCGAGAAATACGAAAAAGTATATAACACCGTGAAGAAGACAAGTTCTTATTTGTACAGGACGTTCTCCATTAAAGTCTGCGGATGAAAGATAACAATAAAGTATCACGTAGCAAGGGCTCTATAAATGTTTCATTGAAAAAGTTGTATGTACAACTTGTGAAGTTGTACCTGCTTATTTGAACGTAACGTTGTGTAATGTAAGTGTTATTCACAGTTTCACGTTTTTCATATATTTGTTACAAACACGTGAGAGTATCATCATAACCGCAAGTTTGGTATATGAAAGCTGCACGTATGCACGTTTGTGTGCCTTTATCAATGCAAACTTGATATTGAACTGCCATTGAATTTACCGTGGACTGAATTTCACATTGACAAATTTCCTGGCTCAGAGAAATTGAGAAGGAAAACGAGAGAAAAAGTAACAGAAAACTAAATATAGAGACACAACTAATGTAAAGTACCAAACTAAAGTATAGTACCAAAGAGAAATATTGTAGAGGCAGTGTGCAAATATCATTCTCTATTAGTTTAATTAGTCTATGTACAGTATAAAGTAAAGGTTAAAGTATGCAATACTAGATGTAAGGGAAAAATAATAAGGGAAAACTTGACAACCAAGGGAATTAAAACGGAAAACAAAATGTAAAGAATAATGTAAGGCACTGAGGTCTATTTCTAGGCCGAAATAAGCTGAAATAAAGATTCATTCATTCATTCATTCATTCACATTGACAAATTTCTTCGTACGCAGTAATTAATTCATTTCGTGTTGTGCAAAATTTCTTTCCTCCAAAGTTTCCTAGATCGAAGTTTAAGAGTATAATATATGTGGATGGAAAAATGAAAGCACAAACGTGTATCTTGTCTTGTACTGAAGCAAGAGAAAGAGTATCGACGTAACACGTATTTATCACATTTGTCAGCATTTATAAATTACTCGCTACGTGATATTTTTAATCACAGAAACGTGAAGAATGCTAAATTGTAGGACAACCCGTGTGTTTCTAGAGATTTGAAAATCACGTCGGGTCTCTAGAAAAAAAAAAAAAAAAAAAAAAAAATGAAATTACGTATCGATCATTTTAACCATTACGGTTGTTTCACTTGTTAAAAGTTCTTCTTCTCTTTCTACTATTTTTATTAGCTCACTGTTTCTCGAAAATAAAATATTCCCCAAATTTCCAATATTCTGAATGATCTGTCACTGTTGAAAATCAGTTTACGCAATTGATACGCGATTAAAAGAGTTACTTCCGTGAACAAGATTTCTCTTTCTCTCTCTCTCCTCTTCCGCTATTTCTTCTTACTTCCACAATTTATCCGCTCCTGTCTTTTTATTAGCTTGCTCGTTTCTAAGAATAAAGAATTTCTGAAGTTTCATTATTCTCGATGATTTGCCATGTTCTCGCTACATAGGAACGCGAAACGTGCACGTCATTGTTCTCGCATAGGTAATTCACTCAGAGTATTTCTACATATAATGCGATACGCTTTCAACGATCATTTGTTTCGAGTAAGCACCACCATTTCAGGGACATTATTAAAATGGACTATTGGGTGATTTGCATGCCGACCGACAATAGTAGACGGCGCCCTGTGAAAGGGACAAGTTATAAACGCTATGATAAATGATATGTAAGGCTATTCTTGAACATACGTCTGTAAATACGTAGGATGGCGAGGGAGAAATGAAAAAAGCAGGGGAATAGAAAAGGAAAGAAGGGAGAAACAGAAAAACAATTCAATATGTAAATGTTTTCGCTTTTTATCCTTGCGCATTGACGCGAGAGAAACTGATTACGATAGAATGAATTGCAAACAGCCACTTCTTCATTAACTCGGTCCAAGGAACGAGTCGCGTGTTCTTTCGTGTCATACGGACTTGCGTTTGTAAGTGACACGTTTGTTATAAAAATGTATGTTCATGTACAAACGTGTCTCGATTTTCGACCGAGCGATATCGGACGACAATACAAAAATAAGCCGACTTTATTCACATTATTCAGTTCAAAATTAACTTGATTCAATACTTGACTTGACAGATCTTTAAACTCGACTTTTTAAAAAAAAAAAAAAAAAGAAAAGATGCGTCGTGTGAGAAAATTCTATTCCATATTTTCGACTGATTTTTCAGAATCACCAGCTATACTAATCAATATGTATTGCAATATCGAAACGAAAAGCGTTTCGGTAGACGATCAAAGGATAATCATTATCGTTGATACTTCTTTTCTCTTTCTTCCAGTCACTAATTTCTTTAACTTTAGACTGATCGATCAGTAATCAGAGTCGATATAAGAATTGCTTTTGATTTATTTTTCGATAAATAATTGTCATGTTATTATTGCTACTTTGCTTTGTGATTCCTCTTTCTTTCATCTTGTCTCGTGTACACTCGTCTTAAATCAAGAACCGAATCGTAACAGCTATCCTGTTGTTACTGCTTTCTTCTCCTTTTCTTCAATGATTAATTTTCTTCAATCTTAATCGAGTCGATCGAGTAATACGAAGTCAGTAAAAAACAGCAACATGTTTGCCATATTTCTCGATAAGCGATCAACAGCGATTATTATTGCTTCATTCTGTGGTTCCCTTTTCATTTTTCTCTCTCATTTTTGCATGTATCTCCACTTAAACCGTGAGCCGATCTCTATGATTGTCACGATAGCGAAACCGCAAAGCAAACAGCCAACAGAAATAAAACGGTAAGCTTAATGGACGAAACTCGCTTCGGTTGTATCACCCTACATTCGAGGAGTTGTTATCGATGGATCAAACGTGACTAACGACCAGCCAGATAGCATTTTCTTCCTTTGATTCTCCCGTTGTCTTTCCAAAACACTTTCGCAACCGATTCGTTGCTACATTTATATCATGTTTCACTTTTTACACGGAACAATATGCCTGGACAGGTTCAACTGGTGACTTTTGCTTCCTCTGAAAATCAAAAAANAAAAAAAAAAAAAAAAAGGGAGAAGAAAAAAAGAAAGAAGAGGAAAGGAGTAAAAAATAAGAACGAGAGAACGAAGGAGAACGGTCGAAAAAGCGCGTGGTGAATCGGCGATAGTAGTGTGCGCGGTTGAGTTCGCGTCACGCTCGTTGGTGGTTACCGGGAACGATATATGAGAATCGAGGGTAGGAAGCTCGGACGGGGGTAGAACATGGATCCGTTTGATTGGTCGAGGTTCTTTAGGAGTATCAGAGCAGTGGGGATAGAGGATGCTGATGGGGGATGAAACAAGTGTCGGAAAGCCGCGGGCTTATATAAACCGTGAAGGGTAGATTCGTATTCGCAGAGCAAGGTTTCCCGTTGTCGAAGAAACAACCGTGCCTGTCGCAGGTTATCGCTGACAAAGTTCTACCAGGTCCACTCGATAAGGGAGTATCTCGATCCTCTCAAGGTAACTGCAACAGCACACTAGCTTCTTTTCACCACGTTCTTTCGTTCTTTCGTTCCCCCTTTTTTTCTTTTCTCTCTCTCTCTGCTCGTTCGTGAGACGAAACAACGTGTGTTTATCTAATTGTAGCTCTAGACTCCTTCTGTACGTGTACAGCAAGCGAATTTGTGTTTGACGGTTTCGAAAATGTAAGAGAGAAGGTGGATCCAAGTTGATATCAATTCGAATTTCAAGGAACAGACAGTGAAACGCGTCCGAGAACGCAATGATTAAATTTACCTGGAGCACCGATTTTGACGATAACGAGCCACGATATTTTCGATGTTTCGCGGACATTTAATAAATCCTCGTGCAAATGCTATAATCTATTTCAGTGTTCGACGCGTCTCGTTCAATTAAATTTGAAAGCTGTCAATTCGGTTTGCGCGAATAGCGTTTACACAGGATATGATTTCCCTCTTTTCTCACTCCCCGTTTAACAAATCTTTCGCGCATTCATTTCCCCTGCATCATCCATCCTTTTCCTCTTTCCTTCTCTCATATTTTCTCTCGACGTTCGACTTGTATTAATATTCATATTCCGAATTGAATACCAAACGAGAACAAAATAAACAGAGGCGAATGATGAAATGAAAGAAGGAAATAAATTATTGTAATTTATCGTCATTACTGTAATTTATTGCGTTGCGATGAATGTCAAAAGCAAATATAGAAATATTCAATCTCGATGTTGCAACGGGAATAATTCGCGACACGTACGGTTCGTATTTGTCTCGCGACGCAATTAATTAAACACTATAATGAAACGATGAATAATTTCACTTGTCGCTGGCATTCCTCAACCATCGAATCGAAATTATTTTCCAATCAAATAGCGTTTCTCTTTCCCCGTACGAGCTGATGTTTAAAAAAAACAAGACGAGTCTGGTTTACGAAACGTCATCTGGCCGTCTAAACCGATCCATCCTTGATATTTTCGAAAAGATCCTCCGATCTATCCAGCAGTTTATTCTCAAATACCTGTCTACGCGATATTTCCACTTGTTGAATCATAATTGGATGGAAGGAAACGATATACGCGCAGCTGTACTTCGTGGTTGAATTTTCATGGCTGATCGAGCGCGGTTTCATCGCGCGTGTTGCGAGTACTCTGGTTAGTCGTAGTCGAACGGAAAATGGAAAACGGGAAGCGGAAAACGGAAGGCGGAGAACGGAGGATGGAAAGCGGAAAATGGGAAACAGCGTATGCGAACATATGATGGAAAGTAAGAAACGAAATGAGAGAAAGACAGTCGATTCTCACGTCATTTTCTTTTGCCTTCTTCGATTTTCACTTTTGTTTAAATCCGAGACGATTCAATAAGTTGACTGCCATATTGGTCTTCGTAACTATTTTTTTTATCATTGATAATAGAAATTAAATTGAACAACATAAATAAATACACTGTCGTTCATAATAATTCGATGCAATTTTTTATTAAAAAAATAATATTTTTCTGACATTTGTAAACTTTTACAGTGGAAGGATCTTTTGTTTCTTGCAATAACAAGGATCAATTGATACATTGAGACTGAAGCAAGGAAAATGATCTATCTGTAATGAACATTTGATATTTCATAAAATTTAGGATGACATTTCACAAAATGTAGCTGTACATTACTATGACATACATATCTCCATCGTTTCAAAATCAATAATTTAGATCCCTGTCGAATGAATTCCTAATCCAGCTGCGATTATTCTTCTTTCATTCTTCAATATCATCTATTACGTTTATCAATATATTAATAGATATTCTTCGGGGACTGAAATATTTAAATTTGAGATGGTCGGTTGTTATCCAAACTTAATATTATAATATTCATCTATCCAAATTTAATACTATAATTTAATGTTATCCAAATTTAATATTATAATATTCATCCACGACTGAAACATTTAAATTTGAGATGGTTGTCATCCAAATTTGTCCAAACATATACGGACGATACTGTAGATAATGCTGCAAAATAATACATTTTGACATAACATAATATTTTCTAGCTTGACAGGCGAAACGTGTAAGCTTCGCGTGGCGTCACAGTCAACGTATTAAACAATAAGGTATATATATATTCCAGACACCCACGAACAATTGACGCGTTTGAAAATTTGACAGTGTTTACGTACCACCGGTATCGAATTATTCCTGACGACTGTAAGTACATGTGTGAAAACCTATCGTCAACATCAATTTATCATCGGTGGCGCTGAATCCAATTATCCCGTGTTACGGTTATTCGGCACACTCAAAGCGACTCGTGATTGCCTTCCGATAAAATACTAATTGAACGAACATCGATACCAAGAGGAACTGGAAAGCTGTAATTTTCGGATGTTTCGTTTGATCGAAAATGAAATTTCCTCGGACAGCGTGAGTTTCGGACGGACCCTGTTTTACGGGGGTGGAAGAAACAAGAGGGACGTATAGAGCACGTACACAGTTGCTTTGCAAACGAACGCTTTCACCGCCACAACGATTTAGCTGTGTATGGTAGTTGTTTCTTGCGGATCGTGAGAGCACAATGCAGAGATTTGCTCGAAAAGTTGGCCACGATCGGTCTTTCCTTCCTAGAGTGTGGCTTGAATAGTTTGTTAGTCGCTTTAGCCACAGAATTGCGCACCCACCCCGTCTCCTTTGCGGCGGTCTGAAAAACGAGAGAAATAGTCGAGACTTTGCTATTGCTTTCTCTTTTCCTTTCTTTGTTCTCTTCCTTCTTTTTTTTTTTTTTTACTCATTGCTTTCGTTATCATTTTCTTTCTTCATTCCTCTTCATGTTCTTTCATTTTCTTCTCTTTGTAATTCACTGATGTATAAACGGCGTTTCAACTAAAATCCAACTGCTGAACTCGTCCATAGTTTTCGTTTCAACTGATCCTGAATGCATTCGAAACCGATTGCGCAATTGGTGCGACGTTTAACATATTTCAGCGGTGAAAAAAATGTCAGCTGCGACGACGTTTGACGTGACGATCTATATGACAATGTGACATACGTACGCAATCGTGTGTTGAATCATTCAGTTGACTTTAAAGTGAAATTACCATTTTTTTTTTTCCGTTTCAGATTTGAAAAAGCAGCTCTCAAGGATGCAGCAAGGCATCGTATCATTCTACATACTGTTGATCGTCGCGGGTCTTTTTCTATCGACGAATGCTGCGCCGTAAGTCTCTCACCTGTCGCAATCAGTTTGTTCATTTCTTTTTTTCTTTTTTCACGAATTTGATTAAAGTAAATTAATCGTTCGATGTTTTTATTTAACGTTTGTCGTAAATGAAAAATATACTCAGAGATGGAAAGAAATGTACAACTACTAGCCAAGAAACAAGACATGACAAGAGCCGTATGATTCATATATCAGGGCAATGTAGATAGGAATACGAATCAGTGCAGATGTGTCTAAGAAACGAAGAAAAAAAGGATGCACATGCAGACAGGCTAGAAGAAAGAACGCAGCATCAGAAAGTTTAACCCAGTTTCATTTGACGGGACGTCGTTTAATGAGAGGAAACGATTCTTAGTGCTCTATCTAAAAGTAAAGAGACTGGCATTGTTACGCTTCTTCATTCTACCGCCGCATGCACGTACATAACCCAGAATGGGAAAGTTATAAATTCGATAGTTAAATGTCGTTGAAACGAGATGGGATAGCCGCGAACAGGTCCAGTGAAAAAAAAAAAAAAAAAAAAGAAAAGAAAAGAAACTTGGCCGCGTAACCAATGAAAACGTCACTGCTAGCATTGTCACAGCGCGAAGCTCGTAATATTTCTCAACTAGGTGCGAACACTTCTGTTAAAAGACACTGACACTTTTATATTGTAGACAACAAGGTTACTGGAGTCAATTCGACGAAGAAGATCCGGAAGCGCTAATGGAAATAATTCGGCTCGGTCACACTATGATCCGCAATCCGGAGCTGGAAAAGTGAGTAATCATTATTAGAGAGTTAATTGTTATTATTACTATTAATAGAATTAATAACATTATCGTGGTTAGAAGGTGATCTAGATATAAAAGTAATTTATTTAAATTTTGAGAAAACTTTCGAGAAAATCGAGCTCGAAAATCTATCGTTATACAGACACACGTGTAGCGTCGATTAAAAAATTTTAAACTTAATAATTTTTGCATATACAATAACCTGCTGTTGATTATTCGCTCCTTTTTTGAATGTACATGATAAAATAAATAAAAAAACATGTCATGTAAATCTATATTCTGCACGCGTCAGTTATCGAGTTGCAGATAATTGAAGAAAATGTTCAATGTGCCTCAGTGCATGTTACTGCGCATCGTAGTACACCTGAACAGTATAGTAATTTTACAAAAATATCCATCGATATACGAGTTTGAGGCTACTATTCGAGGAAAATACTTGGTATTTTCCTACGCGATAATTTATACCTGTACAAATTCAAATATTCAGCGCGTTAATCGTAAAAGTTTCGCGTTTTGATTGTTGCTGTTTGGACTTCTTTTTGCAGTAACAAACGAGGACTGGATCTAGGTTTGAGTCGCGGGTTCAGCGGGTCTCAAGCGGCGAAACATTTAATGGGATTAGCAGCGGCGAATTATGCCGGAGGTCCTGGTCGACGACGTCGTTCCGAACAGCCCTAGATGAAAAAACACCGGTTCGCTTGATCGATGTCATTTCGATCTCAAGCTTTAACATCATGAATGTTTACTTACAACACGAATTCGTTCGTTCGTTCATTCGTTTCCCTGTCTTTAGCCTCTGCCGCAGAACGAAATTACGATCCGGTGAATTTCAGTTACTTTAGTCTCTGCAAATTAGCAAAACACATCTAAATTAAATCGTTCGTACTTGCGATCAATCATTTCTATCTCACATTCCCATACTTTTTCCTACGTGTCTTATTTCTTTAAAGCGTCGAGTAGGATGTCAGATCGGTTACAATCTAGTCATTGTTCTAGTCATAAAGTTATGCCACTCGTATTTGTGTATGTATTCGCGCGTTTATAAGCACGCATACGAATTTCTGAAATGAATAGTAAAATAACACGACAGAGCTACTATTCACGATCCAGTGTAATTAATTCCGAGCATTGGAATATATATCAACTGTTATTATCGGAAGCTTACAAGTTTAAATCTCTAATTACAGATCGATTCTATAATTTATCCTTGAATTTATTAGCTTTCAATCGTGCCTCTCGTAGAGTCAACGAACAGCGACAATTTACACCAGTCTTCACTTAATATTCTATGCGAAAATAGTCTCATTCGCCAGGGGCGTTATTTTTGTATTAGCAAACTGACATCGATGTCTATTGCTCGTCTAGCTTAATACTTGTGCATTATGTTTATTTATTTTCTTCCTAACTAAATACATCGATTGTACTTTTGAACGAATGCCATTCGTTTCAACTATCGGCGTGTGAACACGCCGTTTTATGTAAAATTAAACGAAAATAAATCCAATACATGTATCCTGCGTTTCTGCATACCTCTACTATTATCTTCTTTTTATCCTATTTCTTTATTCCTCCTTCTCTCCCCTCCCGCTTTTTTTTTATTGCAAACGAACGAATTCAAAGATACCGATCACCTGGTAACCAAAACGTACTAGTGTTTGTAGTGTTTTTACATTAGCATTGTATTAGTTGTATCGTATTATTACCTATATATTATTATATTAGTGTTATATTAGTTATGTTACAAATTATTATATCAATGCTGTATTAGTTATATTATTTACAATAGTACGATATTGTAAATAAATTGGTACATGAACGTTCTTCAGTGTCGTTATCGTTGCCGCTGATGATTAATAATACAACAGGACATTCTAATTGCAAGCAAAATTCAAATGAGAGTAAATCATTCAAGCAGGAATCATTTCAAATGGATTAATTTAACATTAAATTTCTAGGAAATTTACATTAAATTTCTTCATAATGAACATCTAGAAAAATGCAGACCGAGAATACGCTTTTATACTTTTAATTTTTCCGCAGCGAGGGAGGAAATCTTTCGCACGATCTCATCACGCGAAAGAATGAAGTTTATCGATAATAAATTTTGGGAATGTAATTGAGATTTCTTCCGTAAAGTCACATGAGCCTTATTCAAGTACATGCATTCTCTTCCACATCGTGTTTCCTACCATCTCGTTTCGTGTGCTGTGTATCAACGATACAAGCGCGCTCTAGTGTCAAGTACGATCTTCGTGGCGGAGCATGGAACATACCGATTACGTTGATACTCTTTGTCCCTGATACGCACATTTAATCTGCTGTTGCAAGAAACGTAGTCATCGACTTTCTATCTACCAAGTGTATGCCACTGCTTACGTTTCGTCGAGTAATTGATTCGTATATCTCGTCTTTACATCTTAATTTCCTCTCTCTCGACAATATCGTTTCCGTTTCTTCATTCCTACGTGCCACACGTATCTTCTAACAATAAAATGCATGTACGTATCACTTGTTTTTGACTAGTAACGAATGTAACGTGCGCAACGAATAAAACCAAATACTGACGCAATGGGAAAGCTATGGGGGCAACGATCGTAAGCATAAGTAACGTTATCACGGCAAACATAATCAACAAAAGATTGAGTCGAGTTGTTTAATGTCCGTACTGAAAATAGATATAATCTCGCCGTCCCGAAGTAAATGACTTTTATGTAGCTAGCGATAACGACGAACGAGACGAGCTCACTTATTATGAGTGAACACATCCGACAGAGACCAAGTCACAATCGTCGACTAACTAACATGAGTATCCGAGTAACGGTTTCGGTACTCGTTATTATAATCGGTTCTATACTATTCGCCTATGCGGCGTTTGCATCCACGGTCGATCCAACCGACGATCAAACATCCTTGCGACAGGTGATATTTGTAAGTGCATGTGTCGGTTTTCTAATATACGATAATCAGTAATGCTCTCCTCTTGCGATTATTAATCTTGTTAATGACTCCGACAGGTTTTTCGACATGGGGATCGCACTCCAACGTCAACTTATCCAAACGATCCGTATCGGGATTACAATTGGCAAGGAGGCTGGGGAATTTTAACTAAGGTTTCGAAAAATGAATTCGTTTATTTTTATCGTCATCAGATCGGAAATGGACGCGTCCCGATGTTTCATTATTTTTTTTTAAGGAAATTGTCAATGCATATGTCTGTGTAATTGTATAATTATTCGATACTATGTACAGGAAGGTATGTTACGAATGTACAACGTTGGTCAATGGATTCGTAACGAATATGGTTCGATAATCGGCAACAAATACGAAAGCGATTTGTCTTTGATCGAAAGCAGTTACGCGGATCGGTGCATAATGTCTGCACAAGCTTTACTAGCTGCTTTGTATCCACCAACGACCGAGGAAATATTTGTGCCAGGTTTAATTTGGCGTCCTGTCCCTGTTCATTCCACTCCCAGACATTTGGACAAGGTATTATACATGTCAGCAAATTACTTTCGATATTGAAGATCCAATAGATAAAACCGCGTGTCTGATGTGTTACAAACTAACAGTGTGCAATTTTCAGATAATCGTAGTTAAGTATCCTTGTCCAAGATTAGAGAGAGCTTTAAATGAAGCGTATGTGAATGAGTCCACACGTCCAGGAACTACTCCATCGGCCAAATATTATGAAGAACTTTCCAAATATACCGGGGAAAATATCTCGACAATCACAGATGTTGAATTTCTGTACAATACTTTGGAAATCGAGGAACGTAACGGTTTGAAACTACCCGAATGGACGAGCAAATACTACAATTGGCAAATGCGTGAGATCGCAGCTCGTAGCTTAGCCATATTTACGAGCAATACGTTGCAACAGCGACTTCGCGGAGGTATAAGTATACGAATATTCACTGTGCATGTATTGTAACAATTGTGACTAAGAAAATGCACTTACTGTTGTTGTATATCTTGTACAAGCGATAATACATTTCAGGCCCGTTGTTGAAAGAAATTTTGAAACATTTACAAGCTTTTAACAATGGTCAAGATACAAGACGAGCGTATCTTTATTCCGCTCATGATATAACTCTCGTTAATCTGTTAAGGACCATGGGATTTACGGATGAATACTTTAAACCCGATTATGGCTCGACGATTATTTTTGAATTGCACGCTGCGTCTAATTCTGCAAACACCGAAATCAAGGTATTACTTCTTGCTAATGTTTGTTTCGTCTAATTATTTCCTTTCTTCTCTTTCTGAGTTTTCTTCCTTTCTTTCGTTATTTTTTTTGTTTTTTACTCTTTTTGTAGTTGAAATATCTAAATAATACGGAACCGATAGCATCGCATTATATGAGTATACCAAAGTGTGGCACGCCGTGTCTACTAAAAACCTTGACAAAGTTATGGGAAAACGTGATTCCCAACGACTGGGATGCTGAATGCCTGCTTACGTGATTTTCTTTAATTAATTCTTTAATAAAATATCTATAATTGTTTATACTCGATGATCCATCTTGCAAAAGGAGAACCTTCGGTCTAATACACATCCATGATAGTGATAGCGCATGCAACCATGAACAAAGTGTGCTGTATCATACGAATCAATTCTAATTCGAGCGAAGTTGGTTAAGATTACTAAATTGGCACAAAATCGTTTAACCAGGATGTGTCCGCGTTGCTTACGCAACAAATGACACTGAATGTTTTGCATGTCTCGTTACGCAATACGAGAACGATTATTCCAAGCACTCTTTCCGTTGAATTCAAATGCCCAAATGGAAGATATGCGTGAACGTGTCGATTACATGTTACCGAGTTGATATCAACCGATATATATGCACGTATATATGGAATATAAATATAATGTATTATATTTAAAATGATTATATTATGTTTCACCGATTGTAACATAAGTTATGTTTTACCGATTGTTGCCAATCATCAATAACTACGTATATACCATTTTATAAATAAATAAATGAATGAATACATAACATTTCCATATTCCATATTGTCCTATTGTTCCATTCATGTACATGCATCGCTGTCAGTATTAAATTGAAATATAATTCGCTAGTAATTGAGATTACATCTTACGGTTACATCTTTTTCTCTTTCTTTGTTCGTTAGCTTTTGATTTTATTTTAGATAGATAAATAGATCAGCAAACGAGTGAACCTACAAATATGTATGTAATGTATCATAGCTGGAATATGACCGACCTCGACTAATAGTGACACGTAACAGTGCGCTCATTTCGAGATAAAGCTGAATACGTGCGTGTGCCTTACATAGAGAATATACGTGTATCACTTACGCAAGTACACACAGATGCATGAATCAGTCAGCAGAAAGAGGAGTGCAAAAAGAAAAAAAAAGAAAAACTCCGAAATTATGTTATCACATCACGCTGAATTAACTTTTATGCATTTATCGTTCGCTCTTTTCGAATTCATTGCGACATCGCTCGAAATATAATTATTCTTTAAAATCATCGCCTTTGAAGTCACTATGCGTGCATTCATTTATCTCCAGTTCATCAATTCCAAACCACTCGCGACAATTTAATTGATCAGAACTGTTTAGTTACACGTACTCTTGGTAAATGCACATTTTCGTAACATTTTCTCCTATTGATAGGACAGCATCTGTTGAAACAGAAGGAGAAACATTTATTAAAAAAAAAAAAAAAAGAAGCAAAGGTACTAATAGCGCAACAAGCAAGTAGATAAAAAGAAAGAGAAGAAGGTATAGGAAAAGAAAAAGGTGGAGACAGAGAGAGAAAGAGAGAAGGTTAGAAGAGATATGTAGTGGAGGGAAAAAGATAGAAAAGGAGGGAGAAACGCAGAGAGAGAGAGAGAGAGAGAGAGAGAGAGAGAGAGAGAGAGAGAGAGAGAGAGAGAGAGAGAGAGATGGGTAATAGACTAGAGAATGGAAGGAGGAGTACTGAGATGCGCAGTCGTATCGATATAGAATTGCTCGTGACGTGGTCTGTTGAGTGGTCGCGCGTAGTCGCCGGTTGTTTTCTTATGTTCAACGTGTTCGGTCATTAGACAGTTCTCGTTTCGATCGATCACAGTCTATGCTTCGAAAATAAAATTAAATTGCCAAGTTTTCCAAGATCGAAACTTTTCTAAAACATAGTACGTGAATATAATCAGTTCTAACACGTAAGTTGTACGGGTTGTCAAACGTGCCGTGCCGTATGATAGTGTCAGTGTTTGATCGTGCTTGTCACTGCTTGTGCATTTTACTAGAATCAGACCGAGAGGTTAGATTTATTTCATGCTCTCCTCCCAAATTTTCATCATACTTTCTTCTTCTCTTGTTTTGTCTCGTTATAAATATGTGTACGATACATGTGTTGCACATGACGTTTGGTCATAAAACTATCTGTAATTCAAATTGTCAGAAACAGGGAGGAGAAAGAGAAAGACTTTCGTAATTTGTTACGTCAAAGCTGAGTTATTAAATACGAATTAAGCAAGATTGCGATCTTATCTTTTTATTTCTTTGAAATAAAAAATGTTCAAAAACATATCAACATATTTTCTTCTAATACAGATAATGTAGTGTCTTGTTATATTTTCAGAACCATCTTCTGACGAAATGTTTAGCTGGTTAGGCCGAGACGATAGCAGTAAACAGGATATCTTTGAAAATGTTGCTGACGGCCTTAAAAAAATATACAAGTCTAAATTGCTGCCACTCGAGCAGCATTACCAATTTCATGATTTTCATTCACCTCAACTTGATGATCCGGACTTTGATGCAAAACCCATGATCCTTTTGGTTGGACAATACTCAACTGGAAAAACTACCTTCATCAAGTATTTGCTAGAACGAGACTTTCCTGGAATAAGAATCGGACCTGAACCAACGACAGATCGCTTCATTGCAGTTATGTATCATGAAAATGAGCGTGTGATCCCTGGGAATGCTTTAGTTGTTGACCCAAACAAACAATTTCGTCCTCTCTCCAAATTTGGGAATGCTTTTCTTAATAGATTTCAATGTTCCACTGTTGCATCTCCTGTTTTAAAAGGCATATCTATAGTAGATACACCTGGTATCTTATCAGGCGAAAAACAAAGGGTATGTATTTTTTCAATTTTTATTAATAAATCAAGTTTATAAATTTAATAAAAAGCCAGTATCTTTCATATTAGGTTGACAGAGGTTATGATTTTACTGGTGTTATGGAATGGTTTGCCGAGCGAGTAGACAGGATCATTTTACTGTTCGACGCGCACAAGCTTGATATTTCTGATGAATTTAGAAGATTAATTGAAGCATTACGCGGTCACGATGATAAAATTAGAATTGTACTCAATAAAGCTGATATGATCGATCATCAACAGCTCATGAGAGTATATGGAGCATTGATGTGGTCCTTAGGGAAAGTTTTACAAACTCCTGAAGTAGCCAGGGTATATATTGGATCATTTTGGGATCAACCTTTGAGATATGATGTAAATAAAAGGTTAGTTGTACTTTGTACTATATAAATACAATACTTTTTATTATTTCACGTTAAGAACATTTTTCTACTTGTTATACAAAATTAATTATTAAATATAATTTTTCCTATAATAGACAGCGTAATTTTTTTTTCAGGTTATTTGAAGATGAAGAACAAGATTTATTCAGAGATATGCAATCATTGCCTAGAAATGCGGCACTTAGGAAACTCAATGACTTGATTAAACGCGCACGATTAGCGAAGGTAAGGGAAAAAAATTATAACTTATCGATTACTACTCCTTGGTACTAATCAATCGATATCGGTTAAATTGTTTTAAGAAATGATAAAATTACGTACTGATTCACAGGTACACGCTTATATAATCAGTGCTTTAAGAAAAGATATGCCTAGTATGTTTGGTAAAGACACTAGAAAGAAAGAACTTATCAAAAATTTAGGTCAAATTTATGATCAAATACAAAGGGAACAACAAATATCGCCTGGCGATTTTCCAGACTTGAAAAAAATGCAAGAATCTTTAGCTCACCATGATTTTAGTAAATTTAATTCTTTGAAACCTAAGCTTTTAGAAGTAGTTGATAATATGCTTGTTAAAGACATTGCCCAACTCATGGCTATGATCCCTCATGAAGAAGTCAGCACAACATCAGACTCACTTGTTAAAGGTATCATTTTGTATTTATATCTTTTACTTGTATAATTTGTATGTGAATATTTTCATAAAAATATATTCTAGGCTAGAAATACAAATACATAAATGTTTATATTCTATTTATTAATTTTTTAAGTTTGCATGATTGAGTAATTTTATAGTAAATAGATGTTTTCTAGAATGTTTCATTAAATGAACTACTTTGTAGTAAACGAACGTTTCTGAGAAACCATTTAATTCAGTATGATAAAACATCAATTTACATGCTCGTAAGGCGAAGATGAATGTGACTACTGTTTCCTTCATTACTTATTTGTTTTCCATACATTATTTTGAAAAAAAAAATAATTCTTAATGAAAATCGATCTTTTTATTGTTTTCTATAATATTTAAATAATATGATACAAATTTTATGCATAATATTTTATATGATAGGTGGTGCATTTGAAGGTGTGGAAGATCAAGTGAGTCCATTCGGATATAAACGAGGAGAAGGTATCGATGCTGGTGCAGGTGAACCAGAATGGATTGTTAATAAGGAAAGATACAAGTATAATTTGATATTTGAAAAGCTCGGTCCATGTGATGGAAAAATTTCAGGAGCGGGTAAGATCTTAGTACATGTAATATATTAACTCTTATATTTGAAATTCAATTAATTCGAATTAATAACATGTTTTTATTTTAAATAAAGCGATCGAAACTTAAATATATATAAAATATATTTTAATACAATATATCTTTGTGGTATATGATATTTTAATTTTTTTTTAATTTTCTGTTATTAATATCCTTTTGAAATCACATTTTCAGCAGCAAAATCGGAAATGGTGAAATCGAAATTACCAAATAATGTGCTTGGTAGAATTTGGAAATTATCTGATATCGATAAAGATGGATTTTTGGATTCTGATGAATTTGCCTTAGCAATGCATTTAATTAATGTAAAACTTGAAGGTTATGACCTACCTGCAGAATTGCCGGATCATTTGATACCACCATCGAAACGAGATACATAATTTAGCTCCAATATTGTACTCATCTCTTATGTCTGTTCACTATGTTAGACGTATGTTTGGTATATGTTTAATGCGCACATTGTACGACTATATTTATTAATTCGCCAACACAGCATCACCAAACACATTGATCAATATTACTGTTTCTCAAATGTTCGAAAGAGTACGTGATATTTATGTATTTCATTTCAAAAAATATCTTTATTCGTTTTTAATTAAAATATTAGAGAAAAATTTTTTAAAAAAATTTTATTACAAAAAAGAAAGAAGTAATATATAACAGTCATTTCACTATTTTGTGTTCTCAAAGAAAACGTATTTTTTCGAGCTAGGTTTTTAATTTTTAAAACACTTGAATTTTTTATCATGTTTCAAGTGTAAATTATATTTATTTTTTCTGTTTCCCCCTTTAATATCACGTCAAAAATTAACATTAAATTACTACACAATAAAACTTTATACTAATTTGGGTAAATTCCATAAATTTCAATGAATGAATGTGTGTTTGTATGTATGTGTGTAATATATTTTTCTTTTGCTCGAATATAGTTGTTGATAACAATATTATTACTACTACTATCATCTTTAACAAATGTGCTTAAGTTCATCATCGCTCCATAATTAATTTTCTAAATATATGTCTACTGTTAACTTTTTCTTATTCTATAGAATAGGGAAAATGGATAAGACTACAGAATGTGTATTTCCTAATCACGTAGCTGTGTGCACAAGTACATGATAAAGCAAAATCGATATTTATTTAACAAACATATTAATCTGTAATCAAACACGATAGTTATTCTGTTGCGTCAACAGAAATTTCCATGAAAAAGGAAACGCTATCGCAGCATAAGATATAGAATGATAGAAATCATACTTAAAACAGTGTGTTAGTATTGAGTCATTTTATACACATTTCACTTATTCTCTATTTGTGCAATATGTGCTTTTGAAAAAAATAACAAATTTTAATATAAATGTATTTTCATTATGTACAATCGAACAATGATATAAGCATGTTATATTTTTAAAAAAGGAAAGAAACAATATGTAAATAAATTTTTTAATAGATCATATTTAAGTAACTTGGTGCTTTAACATGAGAAATATTTCAAGAGATCAAATAATGTTCTCTGTTAGCACTGCCACCATGTTTAATGCATCTTTTTATGTGATATTTAAGAGATATCCCAATTTGATATCTTTCCTGTACTTTATAACAAAATGAAGTCGATGAAAATATTAGAAAAGAAAATTATTTTTTATAATATTCTGTACATAAATATATATAATGAACTAAAAATATTCAAATCATATACATGTATAAAATAGTAAATTTTGTGGTGACTAACAACGAGTAAAACATCAAATAAAATAATATTATTTTTTAATATTATTAACAATATTATCTTTCAATATTATTTTTTTCACAAGACACAATTATCGTGATTTTTCTTTCTTTTTTACATAAATATTACATAAATGATTACTCATTGCTTATAGTTACACATATGTAAATAAGCAAAATATATTGTTTGTAAGAAAGTAAAGAAAAAAAATATAAACATAATAATTTGTCATCTAATAAAGATACAATGAAAATAATCTGATTAATTTTTATAATATATCATATCATCAAATAGTTATGTACATGTATTTATATACATATGTGTTTGCGTGTACATATCTATATGCATGGAATTGGCTCTCTCAATTTTATCCATATATTTCAAAATATCAATCATCATAATCAATTCATTATTATATCTATGACTAAAAGACCAGATTCTTTGCTTAACAACCAGTTTAACAATACTAATAATATTGAAGTGTTTCTTTATCATTATATTGAAATTATATTTGTAGCATAAAAAACAAACAAAAAATAAAAGACAATAATAGTAAATATTAATTAAATAACAAAATTTTTTTAATTGTTTAGAGTAAAATCAATAAATTTATAGATTTTATATATATATATATCAATAATTACATTACATTTTTACATTATGTCACATTTCATGAGAAACATGATAAAATATTAGAGGAAGGAGGGTAGAAAAGAGAGATTTAAAGCATTGCAACTCTAGTCGTTATGAAATAAAATTATACATCGATTGACAAAGTTGTCATATATTTTTATAAAGATTAATTATATTTTTTTTACAAAAATAACATTTTCAATTTAGTTATATTTGTGTTCGGGAAAGTTTCCATGCGACAATGCCCACGGTCTGATCGCAGGCTCATTGGAAAAAGTTTATGAGGTACGGTTTCAAGTGACCTGAGCCTCTAGCACGTTTAGGTCGTTATAAATCCTTGATCTTTTGATTGATCTTTGTTCTACACCTAACGTGACATAAATCAGCGCATTAACTTTCCCGAATATCGGCGTAATGTTTGGACAAGGTTTGGTAGACGACGAACGTCTATGCCACATCTTTGGACCAACAATTTCCCGAAGCCGATGGAAAAGAATCAAGGAAACTTTCCCTGCTTTCCATTGGCTTGCAAGCAGAATTCACTCGACTTCAATACAGTCAAGTTCTCGCTCCACGTGAAAAAATACATTGGACTACGAACACTCGTCTACCACGTTCCAGAACCACACCGAAGGGAAATATTCCTTTGATAATCAGGCGCGCGAGGTGTGTAATATTGTTCATTTATCAGTTATCAAAATAGACTTCGTCATTCTTAAATCGATTTATATGAATATAGATATATTCAAATAATTTTGGTAAGTATTCAATAATTCTCAATAAGTACTCAAGTAATTCTAACACAAGTAAGATTAAACTTTAGAATTTAAATAATCAATTTAATCTTTAATAATCTGTAATAATCATTCAAAAATTTTCGGGAACTATTAATACTTAATATTATAAGCAAGATATATTGCATGGATAAGTACGCATGTATCATCTTTTCAAATCATAGAGGGCAAAACGGAACCGTCAATTTTTCTTTCAAGATTCAACCAAATCACATGAAATATCAAGTCTATACTATTATTGCATTTATGACATAACGTAAATACTTGAGAATTCAAACGAATTAAATTCAAAGATGAATGTGTTATGTGAAAAACAAAAATAATTATTTTTCTGAAGATTTAATAATCTGTATAAAAGATATATAATTTCCAATATGTTTTATTATGACTAAATAAATTAATAGATTTAGTTATTTAATTTAGTTATTTAATATAGTTTCCAGTTATAAATAATCATTAAAAGCTTTTTAATATCGTTTTACGTTGATTGGTTAATCGTCAATCAGCGAACATTGAATTAACACAAATCTTATATATTTGAGACTGCTTGATTTTGTCATATGATCATTTACACAATATATTCGTTACACATATTTTGTAGAAAATAATAACAGAAATACATAAGTGCATATGTATGGTGTATGTTCAAAACAAAAAGGTATGCTTAAATTATATTCAGTTTTGACTATATATAATATATATGGTATTCAAAAAATATCGAATTTTTTTGTTTGTTTTTAAATAATATTGATCACTTTTTGTTAAGACATATCAAAACATTTATACGTTGTGAGTGATAAAATGGAAAATCAAGTGATTGTGTCTGTTAAAATGAATTGAAAACAGAATAACATCTTTTATTATAAGTTAATAAGGTATTTAAATTCGAAAATTCTGTAAATTTGTATTTATCCAATTAAATTGCAAACTCACAGTCAAATATCCTTTCTTTATTTTATCTGTAATTTTTAATATTTGCATATTGAAAAATCTGTGATTCAAAACATTGGAAAGATAATTAATTATTGTAAATCATGTTTTACATTACTCTTAAAACATCTGTTAATAATTCTACATAATTGAAGAACTTATACGCATATATACAAAGCTTTAGATTCACAAATTTTACTTTATATTTGTATATAACATCACCTTATTCTTGGTTGTCTTATTTACTATAGAACAATATAGTATCCTGTATTATTCGACACCAAATGATTTATTAATTATTTTATTCAATATTAGTCTAACATTTATAGAATACAAAGTACAATTATCTATCATATTATGGCATATGAATATTAATGAAAATTAAACAATAATAATAAATTAATTATACATTGAAGAAGATTCTGTACAAAAAAGGTAACAGCAATTAGAAGTACAATTATATATAATATGTACATTGATCTATAGAATAGAAACCTATTTCATAAATAAAAGAAGTTAGATAAATTGTTATATGTATAATATTTATATATTTTGTTTAAATATGATTTCAGATAACAAATGTGTAACAATTTGATGAACTAATACATTCTTTTTGTATTGATTATACAAATAGAAGTTTTAAAAGAAAAAGTTATCAAACTAAAAATCAAGAAGAACTAAGGACAATTTACATGTTACAGAATTATTAAATTCATATACACATTTATCTTTTTGTACAACATTATCTTTTTCGAGATAAAAGGAAATAACAGATTGTTTTACAGTAAAAAATTCCAATTGAAATTACATATGTCTGATAATAATCAAAGTAAAAATTATAATTTATTAAACCATAACAGTACACCTTTGATTATGAAGTATGCCTTAAGAAAACTACATAATAATAGAAGATCACAATTAAATATAACACATAAAAATGAAAATACATTTATGAATGATTGTCACACAAATGATATTCTAATAAGAAATGCATTTATGTTAAAAAAACCTATGGTATTATTGCAAAGACTTTCTGATATTATAAAATCCTCATCGCCTTTATCATCATCTATGATAAATATATGTGTAAATGATCAATTTAGAAATAGTAATATAAACGTCCATCCCAAAGTATTTAATACCATATTTAATCATTCGCAAAAATCATTAAAATTGAGTGGTGAAGGAAAGATTACATATCGTAAGAAGAGTAAAGAGATACTTTTCCAAGAAAAATCTCCGCATGATAAAATAGTTACAATGCATGAATTTGGTAATGCAAATGCAGTATCTTTTACCCCTTTTCTGTCTTCTACACCAAAAGACAAAGAAACACCTAATGATGCCAAAAAAAAACACGATACAAGAAGAACATCATATAATGAATCGAACAAGAGTAAAAAAAATATCTCACTAACTGTAGAAGAAAATCAACAGGAAGTAAAGAAAAAAGATGCTACCTATGAACTCATTGAGCCTGAAACTCCAAATTTACGGAGAAGGTTGCACGAAGAACGAAATGCCAAAAAAGAGAATTTTGATCAAAGGGTAACAATAAAGAATTCTAAAGTACATTTTTCAAATCGTTTGTCAGATAGAAATTATGAATATAATTCCGCACTTCGTACAAGTAACAATGAAAAAAAGCAAATGAATAATTTTGCGACCAATACGCCTAAAAATAGTTCAAAAAAGAATATTTTAAGGTCACCAATTCATAGATCAAATTCCATTAAAGGTAAAATTATTCCTGCTATTAATTCATTTACTTCTTATCGCAAATTATCTTTTATTAATACAATGTTGTCATGTCCATGTTCTGTATCAAAATTCTAGATAATTTATCAAAATATTATAAAAAACATTCTTTATTTAAGAGATTTTTTTATTATTATTTCTTTATTTAAGAAATTTTTTTATTATTATGCAACATTATAGATCAATTGAAATATGCAATGAAAGAATATAAATATCCGCATTTATTCTAGATTCAATACCCTCTACAACGAAGAAAGTTCCAAATTTCGCTAAAATTCATAAAAAAATGTTCGCCAAATCAGAATCGATTGTTGATGTAAAAAAACGAATAATAGACAGACATACTAAAATGAGTAATATATCCATATTCGTAAATAAGTTTTATATATACACGACGTTTTTAAATATGTATTTATATTACATATTTATATTTTTAAATATGTATTTATATTTTAGCCGCACTCAAAAAAAAGCACAATTCAGAGAAGGAAAGATTGAATTCACAGGGAAAAAATCAGTTATCTAAGAAGTCGAATGAAAATTCTTCCAATCAACTTGGATTAAAGATAAGAAAAAACGAAGCTACCGAGTATATCTTAAGAAATAAGAATAATACTTCACATTCAGCAAAGTAAAATTATGAAAATTGTAAAGACGATAAAATGTCGAATAATATACTAATATATTTTTTTTTTTTATCACAGAAGCAAAGAACAGAACAGAGCTATTTTGAAGGGTGTGAGAACAAATCGACGTTTTGAACTTCAGATGAAATTTAGAAATATGAATCATTAAAATATATATAATCTTTCTCTTGCTCTCTTTCTCACGCTAGATAATACGTTTCATTATAAGAAAAGTTTTTCCACTCTGTTTACTTCATTATACTTTACAAATAAATAAATATAATATACGTTTTTTTTTCTTTCACATTCGTTTTTTGTAGGTGTAATTCTATTTTTTCTTTTTATTAATATTTAATAGAATTATAATCGTATTACAAAAAAATAGGAAAGATATTGATTTTTCAAATTTATTGAATAAAATAAAATTATATAACTTAAATAAAAATCATTATTATTAAATTTATATTGTTTATTTTAAAAAAAGTATATATATATATATATACACATATATATAATGTGTGTATATATATACATACATATACATACACATTAACTGAAAGTCAATTAACTGTTAAATTATTCAGGAATACGATAAAACTATAATTGTTACATGTATGAAGAATTTGTAATGTTACATTTCGTTTTAATTGTAGATATTTTTAATCTCTTCTTCACTATATATATATATATATATTTTTTTTTTTTTTTTTTTTGAATAACAAAATTCGAGATATCTCAAATAAAACTACATTTCATATTGGACATTGCGCGCGATGAAGTAACATTTATTAAAGCGCCTCTCATGTCAGTTTTAGAAGAACCACGAATAGAATTCCACGGTGAATTATATTGCAAACAGCTGTCTGCCTTAAAACTTTTTTTCAATGTTTTAACGCAACCACAGTAGAGAAATTAAGACAGAAAATAACAATTGTAAATGTGCAATCTTTCTTTTATCAAAGAATATTACATTTAATTTGAAGGATATTGCCTGGTTTGCGAGGAAAAAATCAAAATGGTATCTTTAAAAGTTTTGTTCGTATTAGCTGTCAAATGAACACATGTAACCTAAAACGTGTGAATTTAAAGAAATTTAAAGAAAACTGTAGAAATGGATGTTGTTACTACAAGCTTAGAAGCCCTGATACGTAAGTGAAAACTCGATATATTCATTCATAAATTCATTCATTTATAAATATTTATAATCAAGAAAATTTTGCCCATTTTAGTTAGGCTGTTAAATATATTTTCCTTTTCTTCTTTTTTTTTCTCTTCCTTTTCTTTTTGTAGAAAGGGTAACAAATCCACAAAATCAAAACCCTGATATAGCTGCAACTGAAGCGTTCTGTGTGATGCTTATCAAAGAATCAGAAGGTATTCAAATCGGCACTAAATTATTAGCATTACGTATTCAATCATCTAATGAGACTGAAGCACTTCAAGCTCTTGCTGTAAGTTTTTTTGTCCAATTTCTGTTTAATAATAAATTTAATTTTAAACTTACATCATTCATTTCAAAGAAAAGATATGTACGTATATAGATATGTATACATACACGAAGCAAAAATAAGTTTATTTTTATTGTTTCATTTAATTTATTGCTTGTTGTTTAACAATTGATATTGATATTTTCTGAAAACAAACTTAAATTAAAAGATAATCTATGATTAGTAAATCAACATATATATTGAATAAATATAAATTTAACGAACAAGTATAACGTTTTTAGTTTTTCATTATTTTTACAGTTACTGGATACATGTATGAGAAGATGTGGACCATCTTTTCATGCAGAAGTGGGTAAATTTCGTTTTCTAAATGAAATGATTCGCCTAGTTTCACCAAAGTATTTAGGTGATAAAACACCAGCCATGGTGCGCCAAAAAGTATTACAGTTGTTACATACATGGACAAGAGAATATCCAAAGGAATTAAAGATTAAAGAAGCTTATGAAATGTTGAGGAAACAGGGTATAGAGGTAAATTTTATATGTTATTTTTAACAGATTTTTAATTTAGATTTCTTTTGTGTATTTTTTCTTAAGATATGGAATTATATGTATATTCAGGATAATTCCATGCCTCCAAATAATACTCAAGATGAGGGATTGAAAACATTGAAAGCTAAAAGTACAATATTTGATGATGAAGAGAAATCCAAGTTATTGCAAAAATTATTACGAAGCAAAAATCCTGATGACTTGCAAGCTGCAAATAGATTAATTAAAACTATGGTGAGAGAGGTAAGTAAACAATATCTGAAATACTATAGAATTCTGCAAGATACATTAATTACTACTTTGTAGGATGAAAGAAGAGTACAATTAAACTCGCGTAGGATAATGGAACTGGAATCTGTTCATAACAATGCAAAGTTATTGTCAGAAATGTTAGATTCATATAATTGTAATGAAACTAGTACAGAAGATCTTGAATTAATGAAAGAGTTATATCAAGCTTGTGAACGACTAAAACCCACTGTGCTTAGATTAGCGAACGAAACTCAAGATAATGTAGGAATGCTTGGTAAGTATTTTATCAGAATTCTTCAATTTAAGAAATTTCATTCAGTTTTACTATCAAGTTAATGAGTTATTAATATTAATATCATTTAGTTATAATAAACTAATATTATAACTAAATATATATATTTCATAAGAAGTTAATTTTATATAAAACTTAAACAATCTGTGTTAGGTGATGTACTTGCTGCAAGTGATGAATTGGAACAAGTTTTTGAGAAGTATACTGCTGTTACAGTCCATGGTAAAAGTGTAAAGCCTAAACTGGACTCAAAGCCTAAAACAGACTCCGACAATAGTCCGTATTTATTAGACTTATCTTCTCCAACGGAGAACATTTTTCTTGAAAGTGATGGTGTAAATGCAAGTTACAATGCAATGACGACAAATCATCAGTCAGATATGGAAGTTTTAGGAGATATCTTCAATTCAATAGGAAAGTCCGAAAAGTCCAAAATTTCTTCAGTTTCTGATGCTAATCTCTTAATGACTGATTCAGTTATGCAGCCACTCAATGTTTTAGCTAAAAATAAAAAAGGTCCGTGAACATAAAATGCCTGATATCTATGCTCTATCGATCGAATAGCGCTGATTTATTGAAAAAGTCAAATATTTTTAGTAATGAATTTGACCAATTAAATAAACAAACAAATGGTGAGTAACGTTCCATTTTCAGATGAATTAATCAACACATCTGAAAAGAAAATTGACAGTAAAGCAAAAGCACTGGAGGAATTGAACGAATTGGGAGAGACTTTGCTTAAACAAAGTTTATCAGGCATAGTATCGAATCCAAGTTTGAAGTCAGGAAGGTTGGTAAAAGTTATCATGCTTTTTAATTAGTTTTATTATACAGTTACGCCGTTTTTTTCCTTTTTTTATTTTTAATCCTTGTAGTAAACAAAGTATAAATCGTCCACCAAATATCAAACCTTTAGCAGAATATTACGTTTCAACAACCTTCCCTCGTAGTGGCAGTTCTTCACACTTTTCTAATCTGTTGGAAACAAGTGTAAAAAACGACAAAGTGTCTGATATTTGTTTTAAGTCAAACGATAATGTTCCATCTCTTGATGATACAAATTCTCAAAATATTATCGAATGTAATGTAAATGAGAATGCAGACGCAAACCGATCAAGCACATGGGATGCCACTTCAATAACATCATCAACGGAAAATTCAGTTATTCCGGAACTTGAGATTAAATCATTGACGGACATTAATATCAGCCTTCAAGATATTAAACCAGGTAACATATTCTTTGTGTATTTCTCTTTATAAGTATAGTATTTTTACATAAAGTATTTTTGAAGATTAAGTGCGATGTCAGCTATTCAATGCCTGATACTTAATAAAATATGTGCGATTTAAAAAAATTCTTGATCAATAGGCATTAATCCACCTATGACAGTAATCGAAGAAAAAAACGGAATAACCGTTGTACTTCATTTTGCTCGGGATAATCCAAGAGAAGATGTATTTGTTGTGGTAATTACGACAATGAGTAAGAATTCGAAACCACTTACCGATTATCTGTTTCAAGCAGTGGTGCCAAAAGTATGTTGTGAATATTTATTTAATTTACGATTCATTATTGTTATTCTTAATGTAACTAGTTGACTATTATAATTCAATGGATTGAATTAATAATATTTGAAACTCTTAGCAATATTTTATTTCCAGAAATGTAAATGTAGACTTCAGCCACCTTCTGGAGCAGGACTGCCTGCTCACAATCCGTTCTTACCACCATCAGCAATTACTCAAATTATGCTAATTGCAAATCCTACAAAGGTAGGACAATGAAAATATTTGTTTTGTATTTTGAATAGTCATTAACTTTTTGATGTGATCTATTTTCTAGGAACCAGTATCATTAAAGTTTATGTTAAGTTATACAATGGATGATGAAACTTTTACAGAAATGGGTGAAGTAGAAAAATTGCCTTTAATTTAAAGTACTTAAACTATAATTATGAAGGGTAAACTCAAAGAATGAAGATTCCAATTGTAAAATGGAAAATATATATATTATTTTCCTAAATTGGAATCTTAAAAAAATTATTTTTTTTTCGTTTTATTTCTCAGATTGTAATTATAGTTTATCTTCGTTATCATACTTATTATCATATTCAAAGATAAAATTAATGTTATGTAGATACTTAAAAGTCATGTTGTGATTTATGTATACGCTTGAGAATGTGCAAATTTATTTTAAGATCTCAGATGGAAATGGTCATAATTTCTGTAAGATCGTACATAATAAAATCGAAATAATAATTGAAAAATAACGGGGGAAAAAGGCACAAATAAAAAAAACAACAAAGCACGAATAACATAATTTAATGTAAATTACAAGCTAAAACGATATTTCTTACTATTCAAAAATATTGTGTTCATGAAAACACAATATTTTATTCAAAAATTTAAACAAATGTACAATTCGTTTAAGAAGTAGGAAGTACTTCGTCACGAAATGCAAGAGCAGTAACTGCTTTTTGATGACCCTGATATTCTCGTTCTACTGCTCCTGTTGATACATTCCATAATCTTGCAACACCATCGGATGAAGCTAAATTAAAGAAAATGTTGAAATTAAACCCACGAAATATGATAATAAAAAATAAAAAAAAATGTTGTTACCAGTAAATATGTATTGTGAATCTGCACTAAATGCAGCATCCCAGACCCATCGTTTTGCTTCATGTTGAAGTATTTGTACCTCCGAAAAATCTGTGGTTTTCCAAACACGCGCAGTTTGGTCAGCAGACGTAGTCACTAAAAGTCTGAATAAAATAGACCATGAATCACAATAAATGATACATAATATTACATGATTGTTTAATTATATCTTAATTACATTTTGTCATGTATTTAATGAGTTAGACTTACGTAGAATCAGGGCTAAATTTGCATCTAAGTGCGTAACGTTTGTGTGCTGCAAGTTTGTGACGAGGATTAAGACGGGTAGGTTCATCGCCTACACCTCCAGTAAGTGTCCAAATATAACAGTGGCCTTTGTTATTTACTGCTGCCATATATGTACCATCCTGGTCAATCGCAACATCTTGCACAGACGCTTCAGCCTCTGGTATCTATATACACAAAAAGCAATTGTTTGAATAATTACACGTGCAATTAAAGCCAGTACATTGCCATTACAAAAAAAAACTTCATTTCATACCAATTGCTCGTTATGATCTGAACGTAGATCCCATAAATGTATAACACCACTTTGATCACCAACAATAAGTTCTGCTTGATTCGGATGCAGACAAACACAGTTTACAGGAGCTGACACTTGAAATATTCTTTGGCATTGAAAGCTGCACAATCTACAACATTATTATTATTTTTGTTATCATGACTTATTGTCATCACCATTACTTATTTATTATTCTTATATTTTTGCAGTAAACAATTAACATGGTATCTAAATTCTATTTGTATTTGCCTGAGATCCCAAATTCTCGCTGAACAGTCTTCTCCTCCAGTATACATCCATTTACCCTCCTCCTAAATATGATAAATTATATTAGTAATTTTATAATAAACGTTGCTATATTACTGTGGAAATAAACTTGCAAAATTTGAAACTTGTACACCACTAGTATATCCTCAGAACATAATGATAAAATACCTGAAATCCCAAGCCTGTAATATTCTTTGATACTCCTTCATAATTAATGATTGGGTTTGGATTATCTGAAACTAAGTCGTACATCCTTATATGTTGATATCCGGCAGCAGCTATTAGATATTTGTCCGGAGTTATATCTAAGGCATTGACTTGCTAAAAATGACAAAGTTTTAGAAGAAAAGGATTAAGTTTTCGATAAAATATATATACATATATGTGAAAATTACCGAATCTGTGTGTTCTGCAGTACGTTGACAAACTCCTGTGTGAGGTTGCCATATTTTGATAGTATGATCGTAACCACCTGTTACGAGAATAACTTGTTCGTTGCTGTTAGTACCATCCACAGTCATTTGACACAATGTAGGAAAGACTGAACAAACTGAATTTCAATATTTCTGTTAAGATCTCGTATATTAGTTCTCCCTATTTTCTTTGTTGCGGGTACAACTAGCTGTACCTTGATATCAGAATATGTTATAAACTAATAATTATTTGACGAAATATATTATTTTTGTTCTTTCTTCTTTAAGACGTTGAAAATTTCTAAATAAACGTTATGCGCGATATAGTCTCATTCGTCTATGGCTACTAATTTCTCTGTCTTATTAGCACATATAAAATAAACTTAACATTTAATGATTCTTCATGTTTTACGTCCAAAGGTTCAATTCATTTTGCCTAATAATGATTTCAATAAAAAAAATACAAATAAGTTATAGAATAAATTATAGCTTTGAATAACTATAACAAACCAACATGCACTAGCTTTTAGAGTCTTATGATTGCACATGAATATATGTTATACTTCGTTTGTGCTTAAGCCACAGAAGAGGAATCGTAATAGACATTGCAACTCACGAACTTTTGTGTATCGTGACCTGAAATACCAACATATTAAAAAATCACTAGGTTTTAGCGAAGTCAACGTCGAACAACAATGAGTTCAAGAAATAGTGAAAGCGCCAGTAACATGATTCTTGAGACCCATTACAGTGTTGTAAAACAAATAAATGTGTAAAATAAATACAGAAATGTGAAGTTCGTCTGTGATTATACCAAGTAAAATGATAGCAAAATGTTTAATAATATCTTCAGGTTCCAAAACACGAGACCAGTATTTCATTATTCCATTCATTATTATGTATTATGTATGTCAGAGAGAGCATTATTCATGTTTAATGAATTCATCGATTGAGTTTTCGTAGGAAACGATAGAATTAATATTTATAACAGGATTTCATATTTATTTACATGAAAATTTGAAATACCAGGAACACAGCTAGTCCAGCGTACAACCTCTAGACTCATGTTCATCCCATACAAAATCTCAAAAATCCGCAACAAAGTCCGCCTGGCTTTCCAATTATTCCCGCTAAAACACTTTTCGAAAATTTGAAATATCAACAGCACAGCTGATTCAAAAGTTTTGGCGTGCTACCTCCTGCAACTTCAAAGTCTCCTGATACAAACTCTCAAAAACTTAACCAGAAAGACAATCCGATTTTCAAGATATAAGAGCTAAAACATTTCTCGAAAATATGAAATATAAGAAGCGCAGCTGACTCCAGGGTATTGGCGTGCCACCTCCTACAATATCATGTTCTCCTAAAAAACTAGTAATTTCAGCCAGAAATTCTTTCTCGTTCAGGAGATATTCCAGCCTAAAATTTTTCCGAAAAATATCTGTACTAGGAGAAGCGCTTAACGGCCAGCAATTTCGTGCCACCTTCTCGAATACCATGTTCTCCTGATACAAATTTAAATTTTCGACCAAAGATTCCTCCTCGTTCAAAAGATATTCCGATTTAAAAATTTTTCAAATTACTTCTATATCAGGCTGATGGCTCAACGGCCGACTACGTCGTGCCATCTCTTCGAGCATTATGTTCTCCTGATACGAACCCCGAATTTCCGCCAAGAAACTCTTACTCGCTGAAAAGATATTTCGGTTTAAATATTCTTCGAATTACCTCTGTATCAGGACAACAACTCAACGGCCGACTATGTCGTGCCACCTCTTCGAGCATCATGTTCTCCTGATACGAACCCCGAATATTCGCCGAGAAATTCTTACTCGTTCAAAAGATATTGAGGTTTTAAAATTGTTTGAATTACCTCTGTACCAGGAGAACAGCTCAACGGCCGACTATTTCGTGCCAGCTCTTCGAGCATCATGTCCTCCTGATACGAAACCCGAATCTTTTCCAAGAAATTCTTACTCGTTTAAAACATATTGAGGTTTAAATATTTCTGGAATTACCTATGTATCAGGAGAACAGCTCAATGGCCGACTATGTCGTGCCACCTCTTCGAGCATCATGTTCTCCTGATACGAAACCCGAATTTTCTCCAAGAATTTCCCACTTGTTCATAAGATATTTCGGTTTAAAAATTTTTTGAATTACCTCTGTATCAGGAGAACAGCTCAACGGCCGACTATGCCGTGCCACCTCTTCGAGTATCATGTTCTCCTGATACGAATCTAGAATTTTCGCCAAGAGATTCCTACACGTTCGAAAGGGTGTTCGGTCCAAAAATTTTTTGCATTACCTCTGTATCAGGAGAAAAGCTCAACGGCCGACTATGTCGTGCTACCTCTTCGAGTGTCATGTTCGCCTGATACGAAAGGCGAATCTTCTCCAGGAAATTCTTACTCGTTTAAAAGATATTGAGGTTTAAATATTTTTCGAATTACCTCTGTATCAGGAGAACAGCTCAACGGGCGACTATGTCGTGCCACCACTTCGAGCATCATGTTCTCCCGATACGAGCCCCGAATTTTCGCCGAGAAATTCTTACTCGTTCAAAAGATATTGACGTTTAAATATTTTTCGTATTACCTCTGTATCAGGAGAACAGCGCAACGGCCGACTATGTCGTGCCATCTCTTCGAGCATCATCTTCTCCTGATACGAACCCCGAAGTTTCGCCAAGAAATTCTTACTCGTTCAAATGATATTGAGGTTTAAATATTTTTCGAATTACCTCTGTATCCGGAGAACAGCTCAACGGCCGACTATGTCGTGCCACCTCTTCGAGTATCATGTTCTCCTGATACGAAAACCGAGTTTTCTCCAAGAAATCCCCACTTGTTCATAAGATATTTCGGTTTAAAAATTTTTTGAATTACCTCTGTATCAGGAGAACAGCTCAACGGCCGGCTGTTCCGTTCCACCTCTTCGAGCATCATCTTCTCCTGATACGAACCCCGAATAATCGCCAAGAAATTCTTACTCGTTCAAAAGATATTGAGGTTTAAATATTTTTCGAATTACCTCTGTGTCAGGAGAACAGCTCAACGGCCGACTATGTCGTGCCACCTCTTCGAGTATCATGTTCTCCTGATACGAAACCCAAATTTCTCCAAGAAATTCCCACTTGTTCATAACATATTACGGTTTAAAAATTTTTGGAATTACCTCTGTATCAGGAAAACAGCTCAACGGCCGGCTATGTTGTGCCACCCCATTGAGCATCATGTTCTCCTGATGCCAACCCCGAGTTTTCGCCGTGAAATTCTTACTGGTTCAAAAGATATTGAGGTTTAAATATTTTTCGAATTACCTCTGTATCAGGAGAAAAGCTCAACGGCCGACTCTGTCGTGCCACCTCTTCGAGTATCATGTTCTCCTGATACGAAACCCGAATCTTCTACAAGTAATCCTTACTCGTTCATAACTTATTGAGGTTTAAATATTTTTTGAGTTACCTTTGTATCAGGAGAACAGCTCAACGGCCGACTATGTCGTGCCACCTCTTCGAGCATCATGTCCTCCTGATACGACACCCGAATCTTTTCCAAGAAATTCTTACTCGTCCAAAACATATTGAGGTATAAATATTTCTTGAATTACCTCTGTATCAGGAGAAAATCTCAACGGCCGACTATGTCGTGCCACCTCTTCGAGTATCGTGTTCTCCTGATACCAACCCCGAATTTTCTCCACGAAATTCCCACTTGTTCATAAGATATTTCGGTTTAAAAATTTTTTGAGTGCCCTCTGTATCAGGAGAACAACTCAACGGCCGACTATGTCGTGCCTCCTCTTCGAGTATCATGTTCTCCTGATACGAAACCCAAATTTCTCCAAGAAATTCCCACTTGTTCATAACATATTTCGGTTTAAATATTTTTTGAATTACCTCTGTATCAGCAGAACAGCTCAACGGCCGACTATGTCGTGCCACCTCTTCGAGCATCATGTTCTCCTGATACGAACCCCGAATATTCGCCTAGAAATAGTTTCTCGTTCAAAAGATATTGAGGTTTAAATATTTTTCGAACTACCTCTGTATCAGGAGAACAGTTCAACGGCCGACTATGTCGTGCCACCTCTCAGAGTATCATGTTTTCCTGAGAAGAAACCCGAATTTTCGCCAAGAAATACTTACTCGTTCAAAAGATATTGAGGTTTAAATATTTTTCGAATTACCTCTGTATCAGGGGAACAGCTCAACGGCCGACTATGTCGTGCCACCTCTTCGAGTATCATGTTCTCCTGATACGAAACCCCATTTTTCTTCAAGAAATTCCCACTCGTTAATAAGATTTTTCGGTTTAAAAATTTTTTGAATTACCTCAGTATCAGGAGAAAAGCTCAACGGCCGAATATGTCGTGCCACCTCTTCGAGCATCATGTTCTCCTGATACGAACCCAGAATTTTCGCCGAAAAATTCTTACTCGTTCAAAAGATATTGAGGTTTTAAAATTCTTTGAATTAGCTCTGTATCAGGAGAACAGCTCAACGGCCGACTATTTCGTGCCACCTCTTCGAGCACCATGTCCTCCTGAT